TGATGAAATCCGCGAAGTTTCGTTCATACTAGTCTTGAACAATTTGGACGAGCCTAAGCCTAAGCCTAAGCCTAAGCCTAAGCCTAAGCCTGAGCCTGAGCCTAAGCCTGAGCCTGAGCCTAAGCCCATCCTTAAAGCTTAGAGCACCAAATTTCCTGTTAGACCAAAAACCACCAATTAGATGCTGTTTTTTGCATTTTGAAGCAACAGCTATGCAAAAAGTTTATTAAATATACAGTATGCACAGAAATCCTTCTTGAATTTGACTCTCATTCGAATGCGGGTCTCTTGCACACGTATCTCGTGTGCTTTTCGGTGGCGCTCATGGTTCGATAGAAAATGTTGCCTTGACCAACATTCGAAACATCCTTGCATAGCTATAAATGATTGGAATATTTTGTGGATTTGAGTAGACTTGTTTAAGGTGTTTAGTTGGCAACGAAAATTCTTGCAAAGTCACTTTTTCTGGGGTATTTTTAAGCATACATTTTGAAACATTTTGAAAATGAGAAAATGCGCTTTCAGCTGAGTTTCATCGGTGTTCCGATGAAGCGGGAAGAACAAATAAAAAAACGCTAAGGAATCTGGATTTACTTGGCGCTAAAGCTGCTATAAAAAGTAAAATTAGCATGAAAATTGAATCAGAAATCTCGTTTTCATTTCACCAACCACATAATGATACTCGGTGGTGTTTGAGTGGCTGAAATAATCATCAGCACTACCATCACTCCATTTTCGAACCTAAACAAACAATAAGACTTCCAAAGAAAGCAAACTCAAAATCTTTCTTTTATTAGGTTGTAAACTAAGTCTTGATCACCTCTTGACCCTCTCGACGAACCCTTCCCCACTTCAGTCTTCAAGGATCTCGCTTGAATATTTGCTACTACCACCAAGATCTGCACCGTTGGAAGCTCCAGCTGAACCCACGCCCAAAGCCTTCAACGCAAACCACCGCGATCCTCAAGGGGTTAAAAGGGGAGCCCTTTAGTTACGTTTAGTGAGGGCGCGCTCTGTTTTTCTTCAAAATCAGTTGTAGTGATCATCAGTTGCCGCTGCACTTCTTTCCAGATACAAGAGAAAATCTTTCTTGCCGCGTATAGTGACCGGAAATGAGAAATGGATTATGACTGCAAACTTTCAGAGAAAACGACAATGCGTGGGACCTGGAGTTGCACCAGCAACAACTCCCAGACCCCCACCAGACGAAGTACATGCTTTCGGTTTGGTGGGATCTCTTAGGTATCATTTATTATGCCTTCGCGACAATGCCTACATACGGGAAAACTCACTCGCGCCACAATCCACAGCCTGGCCTCGAAAGTATTACCTCACCCAGTATATTCTCTTGATTTCAATCCTACAGATTATCATCTTTTCCGATCAATGCAACATTGCCTGGATGGAAAGCACTTCCAAAATAAAAAGACGTCAAAAAGCCACTTGAAGCCACTTCAAGACTATTCAATAAATATTGTTTTGAATTTGAGGTCAAGACTTCGTTTACAATCCAATACGAGAAAATCTAATACGAAATTACTGAAGCCACTTTTTTTAGCTCCACTTACCCCATTGACCTTATGCAGTCCACTCCAAACGTAGAGATTCGAATCGAAACACGCGTTTTCCGGTTTTCCCTTTGGATTGTGCTTCTTTGCATCTGTGTGAATCATTTCTGAAAAATATTTATTCAAAACTTTGTTACTTTGGGTTTTTGTCCAAAGTGAAAACTTTGATTTTCATAAAAACACATGCCGCCGATGAAGTTCTCCTCTGTCGACGAGTGTATCGACACTAAATGCGCCTTCTTTCGAAGACAATTTTCCTCCGCTGTCTCCCATGGAAAAGCGATCATTTCCGAGTTCTCATCATAGTTCAGTCCCTGAGATTTAAACTTTAGTCTTTAAACTAGTCTTTAGTCTTTAGTCTTTAGTCTTTAGTCTTTAAACTAGTCTTTAAACTAACCTTAGTCTTTAAACTAGTCTGTAAACTAGTCTGTAGACTAGTCTTTAAGCTAGTCTGTAAACTAGTCTTTAAACTTTAAACTTTAGCCTTTAAACTTCTTGATTTTTAAAAAAGCAAACCTGATAATAGTAGCATGAATCTGTTTCAGCCAAATAACTCCATCCAGGACTACATTTTGTCGCCTGAGCTTGACACTTTTCGATTTCTTGCTGGGACAAAGCTCTGGAATCCTTTTTTAGTAAATTTAGAGGAATCGTATTAAAAACAGACTTACTAGAGAATGTCAACTGGTTGTAGTGACCAAATGACATATGTCACAAGTTATTCGACGCAGAATTCAACGCCGATTCCGAATCTGCTTCCCGTTTCTGCTATGGAGCACTCTATCCAAAGTTATAAGCGTGTAAGGTTTTGTAAGGTTCACATCATCCCCGAGCTTATAAGCAAATCTCCCAATGCAATGCTTTATGAAGGAGTGGTCGCGGAGTGGCAGAGTGTTAGAATACAAGGCAAAGATTCTCTAGCTCTCAAAGATTCTCTAGAGTCCGCCTTTCTACTTTTTTCTTTTGCTTTTTTTGAAGAGTACTCCATAGCAGAAACGGAAAGCAGCTTCGGAATCGGCGTTGAATTCTGACTTTTCTTAAACTTTACCACTAAACTTACAGCTTTTCTCTGCATATCGTAAGCGTCCCTTTTCCACCGTTGGAAGCGAATCTGGGAAAAAGATTTTTGGTGACCGAATCTCTGAACTCACAATTCTCTCGAAGATCTTGATCGAGGCATTTCGCTATTCGAAATGCTAAAAGTTCTTATTGAATTGAAAATTGAAATGTTTTTGTTTACATTTGGGTGATAGCAATCGTCACCGAGATGCCGATGAGAGCGCCAAGCAAAAAAGTGAGCGCCGATCCGTTTTGGAGGGAGGAGTTCTTGCTGAAAGTTTTATTCAATCAAACAATGATCATTTTGTTCTTATTGATCGAAATGATCAGAGATCAGAGCTTTAGAAAGCTTTTGAAAGCTTCAGAAAGCTTTAGAAGTCTTTTGAAAGGTTTAGAAAGCTTTTGAAAGGCTCATAAAGCTTTTGAAAGGTTTAGAAAGGTTTTGAAAGATTTAGAAAGCTTTCGAAAGGTTTAGAAACCTTTAGAAACCTTTAGAAACCAATTATTGATACCCAAATATTGCTTTAAACTTACCGATTTCGCGAAATCATCTCCACATCATCCGTTTCCATTTTGTCTTCACGAAATGATCAAAAAGCGATTTTCTATCTCCTTATCAACCGGGATTTTCTTGCTTAACCTTCGGTTGACTCACTTTTCTTTCGTAAATGATTTGATTATCATTTTTTCAATGATTTGCTTATCATGTTTTTCCTTTATCCATCAAATCAAGGACATCAACTCTATCATTTGAAATCGCGCTTTCCCGGAAATTCTTGCGGTATTCTTTTGCAAGGAAATGCTCTAAATGAATCAAATTAGCCGGGGTTTTAATTCTAAACAAATCATCTTTGTGGAAAAAAAGAAAACTCCGGATGAATAAGTATTTCTCATAAATGAATTTGAGATCACATTCAAAAAGTTTTAATCTCGTTTTTGCCCCCTCAAAATGACTTTACACCAAACAAGCCCTAGGCCCCACCAAACAAACCCTAGGACCAGATGTGGACCTCGGATCGCAAGAGTCTTCGGACTACAGGGTGGCGGAGTGCGAAGTCCAGCCGCAGAGAAGAAAACCTTAAAGTTTTCAAAGTTTTTCTGAAATTAAAGCTTTCGAACTTTTCCAAAAGTCCTTTTCCTTTTTTGTCCAGCTCTTCGCCACTTTCTGTTTCCAGGAAGTGTTCAGAGTGCACCACGAGGAGGTGGCTGGACTTCGCACTCCGCCACCCTGTAGTCCGAAGACTCTTGGGATCCGAGGTCCACGTCTGGTCCTTGGCGATGGCACCGACTCCCGCAGCAAGAATGCCCAGCTTGCTAAGGTGCGCGCAGCGTAAGTAGGAGAACGCTTCGAAGTTACACTTTGTTGATGCTAAAAGGGATTGATCTGATCCCCAGTCGGTTTAAGAACCTCACGGTTCCTCCAATGGGGTGTCCAAACTCCCGCCATCTAGACGACTGTCGAGTAGCGGACAGCTGACGGAAGCCGGAGCCCAAAGGGAGCATAATTCTAATCCGGTTACGAGCAACAGATCATTCTGCCTCCCTCCACGGGTGGCAGTGCGAAATAGTAGCGATTCCACGAACTTCAGCGGTATCCGCTTTACAAGAGAACTCTTTGGTTCAGTAAACATTGCTCAAATGTGATATGGAGCCAAGAGTTTGTACCCAGGGATTTTCTGGGTCGGGAAAGCGATTAGCGGGGTTTGTTTGTTGTATCTCCCAGCAAAATCTCTAATTTGTGCTGAGCTTGAGCATTTTTCCCGTATTTTGGCTACAAATAATTGAGAATAACCCATAGGAACCAAAATTTAATATTGGCTTTCTTGTTAAGATTGCTTGCTGCTTTATGCTAAACGTGAGAATAACGCAATCACAATGCAAAGATAATAAATGTTAAGTTCTTGACGAGAATGGTTCTTTGTCGTAGTCTCATGATGCCGTAGTCGTAGATGGGTAATTTGAGAAGTTGTTCTAGTGGTTGATGTGGTTGTAGTGGATTTGCTCATCGATGTTCAGCCCAAACCCAAATAGACTTAGTGCGAGGCGCTAGCCGCTAGCCTTCGCACTAAGTCCAAGCCTGAGCCTAAGACTAAGCCTAAGCCTAAGCCTAAGACTAAGCCTAAGCCTAAGCCTAAGCCTAAGCCTAAGCCTAAGCCTAAGTCTAAAAAGGCTTTTTGAAGGATTTTTCAATTGAAAACAGGTTCAAATAGGTGAGCGTGATGACAGTTTTCCTCCAGCGCAGAATGCTTCTTTGGAGAGCTAGATGGCTTTGATCAGGATCGTTTAGGAAATGCTCCCCAGAATTCTCAGCTTCAAAATACTACAATATAGTGCGGGAACTTTTTGATCACTCTACAAAATCATCTTTATTTACAACTTTAATAATCCAAGAACGAGTACTAGCACAATATTGAATATTCTAAATGATGGAATTGAGGTTTTCGTTGAATCGGTTGGAGCGGTTGATAGAGAAGTTGAGGGTTGAGATGGGGATGAGGATGAGCTGGTGGTGATCGGCTGGGCCATGATTGATGGAAACACCTGAAGCTTGAACTTTAGCCAAACCAATCACCGTATAGCAGTTATAGTACCCTCTAGCTATAGTCTATATGATCTTTAGATAGCTACAGTACACCTTTTGTTAGCTACAGTAGGCTACAGTTAAAGCTGCTCCAATAACCGTTACAGTAGGCCTTTCGTTGGCTGCGGTACCCTTTACATCGACTACAGTAGCTCCCACCTGCTCTGGTAATCCTTTAGCAGCTACAGTACTCCTTTTACTAGCTACAGTATCCCTTACAGCTACAGTACCCCTTACAGCTACAATGTACACTGGATCTGTTCATTCATACTGTGCCCAGTACTTCAACACTTCAACCAGCGATCAACATCAAAGCTCACCCTATTCCAAAGCACCGAATCGACTTCTCTCCAACTGTCGCCCATTTGCATTCCCCTTTTCTCGGGTTTATCCAATCGCCAGTACAAATTCGCGTCTTTTCTCACCGCTGTCCACGAGTCGTCTGTTGTCGGTTTTCTGAATTATTCTATTTCAAGGATTTCAAATTCTCAAAAACCCAGTTTTCGCAAAAGTCGTCCACGTCTTGCTGTACCAATTAGCCACCTCCCAATCAAATGGAATCACCTGGAATTGAAAAGGATACAAGACTATACAGCAGACTATACAGTAGACTATCCAGTAGACTATCCAGTAGACTATCCAGTAGACTATCCAGTAGACTATCCAGTAGACTATACAGTAGACTATCCAGTAGACTATCCAGTAGACTATACAGTAGACTATCCAGTAGACTATGCAGCAGACTATCCAGCAGACTATCCAGCAGACTATCCAGTAGACTATACAGTAGACTATACAGTAGACTATACAGTAGACTATACAGTAGACTATCCAGTAGACTATAAAGTAGACTATCCAGTAGACTATCCAGTAGACTATACAGTAGACTATCCAGTAGACTATCCAGCAGACTATCCAGTAGACTATCCAGCAGACTATCCAGCAGACTATCCAGTAGACTATACAGTAGACTATTCAGTGGACATGGGAAAACTCCAACTCAAACCTAATTCCACCTTTAGCCAATTCTTTAGCAGCTACAGTATTCATTTTACTAGCTACTACCCTAATATAATGCAATCTAAATCTTTGAACTTACTTCACTTGCATTTATCGCTCTCGTCCATTCATCCTCAGGCACCCACATGAAGAACAACTCTGCACAATGGGGAACAGCTGAAAAGTTGGATTCATATAGCCGAATTCGCTACATAGCTTTACTATACAAGCTTAAGAAGCTATTCTACAAATAAATCAGACATAATTGTTCTAGAAAAAGCAATAAGCTTGCCAGGCTAGAGTCCTGGTTTAGGCTTACAAGGGAACCTTCTCAAGTTACCCCGCGAGTAACAATATGGTACAAAAAGAAAGAATGTACGTTGTACGAATGTACGCTGTGCGAATGTACGCTGTGCGAATGTACGCTGTGCGAATGTAGGTTGTACGAATGTAGGTTGTACGAATGTAGGTTGTACGAATGTAGGTTGTACGAATGTACGCCTGAGAATGTACGCCTGAGAATGTACGTTCAGAAACTGTTTTCAAAAATCGCTGATCGGCAAAACGCAAAAAGTTATAGCCGCTTGAATTTCGAAACAATGAAGGCTTTTGAATGAAGGCTCGAATTTCTGGCTCACTGATTTTTGCCGGTTGAAAGGTCTTCCTTGGCCTTTCAACCGGTTGAAAGGCTACCCCAAAATCGAGCTGATAGCCTAGTGGTTAGCTTAGGTTAATCGAGCTGATAGCCTAGTGGTTAGCCTAGGTTAATCGAGCTGATAGCCTAGTCCTAGCTCGGAACTCTTTGATCTTGGTTCAGATCCGCAGTGAAGCCTTTTGCTTTCTGGCTTTTTGCCGGTGGAAAGGCCTTGTGCTGAAAAATTCGTAACTTTAGAGCCTCAATCAAAACGGTAAGCGTTTTAACTATTTTAACTCATTTTTTCCATTACTTCATCAAAAAGCCACTATTTCTGCTAACAAGGGAACCTTCTCAAGTTACCCGCAAGTTACAATGTGAGGTGGATGCCAAAAGAAAGGCCTGAGACTTTCTGGAGACTTGAGACTTGAGACGTTCAGAAACTGTTTGCAGAAACCGCTAATCGGCAAAACAAAACCAGCACGGTCAAAGCAGCCATTGAATGTTTACTTTCAACAATTTAAAGGCATAAATAATTCGCGGGGTAACTTGGGATGGTTCCCTTGTTAGACTTGGGGCTTAGGCCTAAGCCAGAGTCAGAGTCAGAGTCAGAGTCAGAGTCAGAGTCAGAGCCTAGGCTCTGGCCTGACCTTAGCCTGTCCCTGACTGTTTTAGGGCAAAGCTAAATCAGCTAGAATCTTTTTTAGATGTCTTCTGTCTCTTTACAATCACTGAATCGCGTAAATGAACCAAATTTGGTCATACACGGGGCTAGGTAATACAGTTGAGTTTTTGTTGAGCTAGGCAATACACTGGCAATGTTTAGTGTTTCCATATAATCCTGTACACTCATCACTCACGATCCCAATCCCCAGGCAATCTGTAGATCCGTCCCACATTGCTCGCATAGCTTTGCTCCCACAAATAGACATTTGTGTTATTGTTGGCCAGGTAGAAGTCGACTTCTTGTTGCATCAACGAGCTGAACACTTGGCCTGTGTACATCTGAAAGAGATTTCGGTTCTTTCGACAAAATTCGATCTTTTACGATCAAAATTCGATCTTTTACGATCAAAATTCGATCTTTTACGATCAAAATACGAATCTTTTCTACGAAAAGCTATCATTTACAAAAACCAAAGCCAATTCGATTCTTTTGGGACTTTTCTTGAGACAAAGGGTTAAAATAAACCCCGTCAATAGATTCTACGACCCTGAAAACCCTGGGGTACAAATTTTGAACACTAAATCTCATTTGAGAATCATTTCCAGAACAAAAGAAATTCCTTTGTAAAGAGACTGCGAGGTGTTCTTTGTGCGGTCTTTGTGCGGGCACGCAATCGCTCGCGATCTGGCACATGCTGCCGATAGATAGGCTTTCCCTTTCGCTTTCAAACGAAAATAGGAACCGTATTGGAACCGTATTAGATCAAAATAGGAATCGTATTGGAACCGTAAATCTCGTTTGAAACCAACTTGGATCACTCTAGTTTGTTTGGCGAGATGTCTTATTCAATTGAACAATTCGATGGCTTTTCAATATACAGGAATGATACAGAGGTAAAGGCTATTCAGAATTCAGACAAATTGTTGGATAGCTTGCTTCTAGCCAAATCCCGAGAGCAAGCTTAATTTCCGATCCAATACAAGGCATCACAAAACTCTCAAATTTGGGTAATTAAACGGAATTGGAGCGAATCAGTTGATTAATTGAATATCTTTAGAAAGTTAGAAACCCAATTTAGAATATAGATATAGAAAAAGTCGAAATTTAAATATTTTAACTCAATGGCACTCACGTCACTGGCAAGTTTGGTCCAGCCAACGTTGTCATTGTCGTCGATTGGAGCCGGATGGAGTGTCTGTAGGAATTTGAATTTGTTGATAGGATTTGTTGATAGGATTTGTTGATAGACTTTGTTGATAGACTTTATGATAGAATTATGACTACTTTATGACTACTTCGATGCACTAGGGTTTACGGTGGATAAATATGGATTGCTGTGGATTGCTGTGGATATATAAAGCTTCATAATTCTGATAAACCTGTTCCAAACAAACCTGTTCCAGTATCGCTAAAATCTCCTCCATTTTATCTCCCATATACTGGTGTTCACTGCGGAATGTCCACTCGACGAATGACCGAGTCAGATTCGCCAACGTCAAATCCGCATAGAAACGATGCAATACTGGAATCTCATATAGATTTCTTTTCGTTGAGATATTTCAAAAAAGATTATTGAAAAAGTTACTGAAATATGTGTACTCGTCCCTCATATTTCCCAGAATTGCCGGCAAATTCGGCCTCTTTTTCCCCAAATTCTCGAGGGTGTCGTTGAGGAAATTGTTGTCGAAAACCATGTTCCAAGCCTGGCTTTGAACATTGGATATGTTTTTTGGATAATATACCGTTTTCTCTCTAATAATAGTGCACTCCGCCGAGCCGAGTTGATGACTATTTTACGGTTTCTAAGTTTCCACAAAAAGCTCAACACTCTAATCCCCCACTAGATCCAAAATCCAAAATCCAATCCAAATTCTATTCTTTACCCTGTTTACTGTAGCTTTAGTTCATTAATTTCTCAAGTTTAAATAGATTCTACTCATCTAGATCTAAATTTAGATATATTTACTGCTTAGATATTATTGTTTAGATATTATTGTTTAGATATTATTGTTTAGAGAGATAAGGAACGAAATTTGTTGAGATAAGGAACCAATGGGAAATGGGATTTCCATAAATGACCAAACTCATGCACTAATTTGCCATCCAGCTTAGAGAAATTTGATAAAATTTTCTGCCCAAATCAAATTCTAACGTTTCAAATTTTCCAGCTTTTGGATGGACTATGGATTCTACTCAAATGTCTGTAAATGATGACTGCAAACGTTGAAACTACTCAATGCTATCTAGTTTCAAAGTCTTAGAAGTGTTTCAAGAGCTTAGAAGTCTTTCAAAGTCTTATTTTGATATTATTTAATATTTACCTCATCATATTTCAAAATATCAGCCGTGGTTCTATTTTTGAGACACGGTGCGAGACTCGAGAAATCATTTCCGTTGAATTGCGCCGGGGTTAGCCCGCAGAGCTGAATCGGAAAATTGCATAAAAATGATCAAAAACATAACATATTAGGTTGATGCATAAGTGTTTTTGTTCCTTTTCGTCTGCCGTTTCAAGCCAACAAATGCGCCAATTAAACTACGGTTGATTTCATTAGAAAAACCAATTATTTTTCTGCAAAATAACATAAAAACGGGTTTAAAAATATTTAATGCCTGGATTTTCTTGAGAGTATGAAGTCGGGTAGTCAAAAAGGGCTAACTCGATGATGCGGTTTAGACACCTTACCTAAAGAAAACCTATCTTCGTGTCAATAGATAAAAGATAGAGAAAAAAAACGTTTGATATTTTAATAATAATAATAATACTTTATTCAAACGATAAAGTGAAAGAAATCATAGAGAAATGCACAGTGATACTTAATCATACAATACATACTGGCCAGCCACCCGGCCAGCGCGGGCCCTCTCGGCTCCGGGGGCCCTGGCGGCGCTTCTTCTCTCTTCTTTCTCCCCGCCTCCCGCCGGCTCCTTTCTCTTGTTTGTAGTTTGTGCGCTGTTCGCTTTTTTCGTCCTGTATTGTTTTGAAATCAATAAGCCAATTACTTACGGCAAAGAGCCACTAGATCTAAAGCATCGATACGTTTCTTGAATATGAAAAGCGACTGAATTTCTCGTATGTCGTTTGGGAGCAAGTTCCATAATCTAGCGGCTCTAACGGGAAATGAATTTGATAAAGAGGCATTGGAAGCAAAGGGAATTTGCAAAAGGAATGAGCCACTTCTGGGCCCTGACCGCGGTTTAAATTTGAAAAAGCAAGGACCTTCGCACATGTCCGGCCCAAGCACAAAGCCTCCCTTGTTCTTTGCCTGGTCCCCCGTGGTTTCGCCAAAATTTCAGAGAAATTCATTCAGCCAATTTTTCCGTAGAGTTTTTTATAGATTTTTACGAAAAAGGCGTTTTTCACTCTCGAATTTGCTTGAAAGTGAACCGAAATTCATTTAAAAAGATGCTAATTGAACAAAAAAACACTTTTTTTTATAGAGCAAACTATAGATTAATTGGTGAATTTGTTACTTTTTAACAGAAGTACGAAAAAAACGAAAAGACTTATGCATCAACCTATTACACTATCACTTTAAAGTTAAATTCTTACAATTTTAAAGTCTTACAAAACTTCGAGCTCAACTTCAAGCTCAACTTCCAGCTCAACTTCCAGCTCAACTTCAAGCTCAACTTCAAGCTCAACTTCAAGCTCAACTTCGAGCTAAGATCACTCTCTTGTCAGCATTTTATCTCGTCATTATTTTATCTTGTCATCACAAGACTGCCCTCTCAAGACTGCCATCATTTTACTCACTTTTCCCGCCTGTTCAACACTTTGCGCGATCGTTTTGAGGCAAGTGAGCGCCGCGCCAGACTCCTGGATTGTTTGGGCAAAGAGACCTAAAATTTATGATTGAAAATTAGCATTTAAAGATAAAATAAAGATTGAAATCAATAGAAAGATATCATTAGAAAGATATATTTATATCTAAACTTTTTCAACCTCGAGATAAAGGCGAAAACGAGTGAGCCGAGACCGAGGCCGAGCCAGCGGATTCCCCGAAAATCGTCACTTTTTTCGGATCACCCCCGAATTTAGCAATGTTATTTTGCACCCATTTCAACGCTTCGATCTGAATTTGAATTTGAGTTGATTGATTTAAATCAATAGCTTTTAATTTGCATTTAAAAAGTGACGAACTTGATCAAGAAGACCACGATTTGCTGGGTAATCATCGGTGAGAGTGGTGAAGAAGCCTGAAAGGATGTCCTGGACTTGGTCTGACTTTGGCTTGGCTATGGAGAACTATGTACATGTACAGTACGGACTAGTAGACGTACATTACGGACCAGTACTATGTACAGCCAACTACAGTACCCCAGAATCCGAGTCGATACTGAATAGTGACCACGATGACATCTTGGGAGACAAACGTGCGCACTCCAGCCTGAACTTGAATTTATTATTATCACCACCTAACAGCGGGTTTTTCTGGCTGGATTTCTTGTCGCTGTGGTGCAGTCGGCAGCGCGCTTGTCTGCAGCTCACACGTTTCTATGTTCAAATTCTTGTAAAAGTTTCCGCAACACGCAACACTTCGGCTTTCCACTTTTCGACATCATCATAGTTGACGGTAATCTGCTTTGAGAGAAAGCGATGGAGTTCGCAAACTTAGAAGGAATTAAGCCTAAGCCTAAACCTAAGCCCAAATCCAATTAGACTTAGTGCGAGGCGCTAGCCGCTGGCCTTCGCACTAAGTCCAAGCCTAAGCCTAAGGCCAAGCCTGAGCCTAAGCCTAAGCCTAAGCCTAAGCCTGAGCCTAAGCCAAGCAAGTAGCGGTTGGCTTCCCCTTTTAAAACAACTGACGCTTCTTGAATTTATCCAGCCAACTGCCACTTGCTTGAAAATCCTTATTCCTTCCAAGCTTGCCAACTCCATCGCTTTCTCTTGAAGCAGATTGCCGCCAATACATTCTTTTTGACTTCGCATTTGTTCCAAATAAGCACAGACTTTTCGATTGCTTAGCTAGGCTTAGCTAGGCTTAGATAGGCTTAGATAGGCTTAGATAGGCTTAGATAGGCTTAGCTAGGCTTAGATAGGCTTAGCTAGGCTTAGATAAAGTTATAACTTTTACCAAAAATTTATAACTATAATTTATAACTTTTAAAAACCCTTACTTTATACGGATATTCTTGAGCACATCCACTATCAAATGATCCGCCATGGATGAAAACCATCACAGCTTTGTTGGCTGGAGTTCTAGAGCCCTAAAAATTCTAAAGGATCAATGCTAAAGTACAAAGTATTGCATAGGTGTACTTTGTACTCAGTAAACACCCTTTCCTGGTGCGCTGAATTCGTCGCTTTCTGAGTAAACCTAGGAAAATGAAGGAAACAAAAAAGTACACCAGAAAGGGTGCTATGAGTACACTAGAAAGGGTGTGTTTACTGAGTACAAAGTACAGTTTAAGCATAAAACAGCAAAGAGCAAAGTGCAAAAGCAAAGAGCAAAAGCTTACATTTGGAGCAAAAACATTCAGATATAAGCAATCCTCATCGTATGGGGCTTTCATCGTTCCACAGGGTTCCGCCTGAGGACAAGCTGGCCTAAAAGTTACTTTACTTACTAAAAAAGCTTATTAAATCGATTTTCAGGCTTATAAATCCATTTCCAACCTTATAAAATCCCTATTAAATCCAATTTTGCTAATTAAATTCCTTTCTCTTTTCTCTTCTCTTGGCAAATCAAAGTATCGGATAGTTCAGTGGTTAGAGCAATTGCCTGGAAAGGAAAAGAAAGGAAAGCAATTACCTGGAAAGGAAAAGAAAGGAAAGCAATTGCCTGGTTCAATTCCATCTCCGAAAAACTACCGTAAATACTGTAATAGTACCCCAACCCCATAATGACGGTGCGGAGTGTTGCGTAGTCTAGCTTTGAACGAGTTTTTCTCGACACTGGTTTAAGCTAAAATCTTCGTTTTGGTATCAAAAAATAGCCCTGAATTTCAGCTATTTTTTGATACCAAAGACGCATTTTTTGAAAGTACGGACGCTTTGAAAAAAATGAAATATGAAAAACCTTTTGCGATTACGCGACTGTACGAGGGCGGTGGGGTACTATTACAGTATTTACGGCATCTATTTCTTGCCAATTCCTTCATTTCTTTATTAGCCCGTATTATTCTTCTTCAATTCCTTCACTTCTTTATTTCTTGCCAATTCCTTCACTTCTTTATTAGCCCACTTCTGTACATTCTGTACAAAGAAAATAGTACTTAAACTTTTAAAGGCATTTCTCACTTCCACGAAGTTGCATTAATCATAGGCTGTGGGAATTTCGTGATCGGTTTTGGCTTCTGCAAAGGATTTCCTTTGTTCTTTCAAAAGATAAGCGACTCACGGCGAATCGCAAATCGCCCAATGGTGGCTCAACATAGGGAATTCCCAAGAAAATGTCCGCATTCCCGTAGTAAAGTTGGCTTGAATCGGTGCCGTAGTCCACATGGAAACCCTGAATTTGAGATTTATTTGCTAAAAATAGCAAATTTGCTAAAAATAGCTTCATATTTGAAGGAAAACACAAAGTTTGAAACACAATTTTGTGACTCCTTTTGATACTCTTGTGTTGCTAAGCTGTTCTTTGTGCTTTCAATCAACCAGGCGCTTCTTAGCAGACTTCTTAGCAGACTAATCATTAGCATTTCTATGAATTAGCGCTCACAGTGATCATTTTTCTGCTTTGGGAATTCAAATTTGAGAAGTTGAGAAAGTTGAGAAGCCGCGAATCAAGAAAAAAAGGAAAGCAAATCAAGAACAAAAGGAAAAGAATGTTCGGAGCTTAGCGCTTCGGAGCTTAGCGCTTCGGAGCTTAGCGCTTCGGAGCTTAGCGCTTCGGAGCTTAGAGCTTCGGAGCTTAGCGCTTCGGAGCTTAGCGCTTCGGAGCTTAGAGCTTCGGAGCTTAGAGCTTCGGAGCTTAGAGCTTCGGAGCTTAGAGCTTCGGAGCTTAGAGCTTCGGAGCTTCTTTTGAGCTTAGAAATCTGAATGCACCTTTTCTAGTGCACTGATTTCTTTATAAAGTTGTTTATTTACCTGAATATCTCCTAAATCCGTCGTCACAGTCACCAAATTTTCAGCATTCGCAAAAATGGCAAAACTACAAAGAAACAGGAGCATTTCTGAAGGAATTCTCGAGTGATTTCACTCGTTTTTTTCATGGGTTTTGGAATCTATTTGTAGCTGATTTTCTTATCTTTTTTTCTTTGATTTGAGTGTGCATGAATTCTCGCGAATTTTCGCACTCCCGTTTAAACTACAGCGTACAAAAAAAAAGAAAAGGAAAAGTTCATCATTTGAAGTCAATTTTCGAGATAAGATGATGTAAGCTAAAGGAATTTCCATCAAAAATCACCTTGAAATAGAGGGTTTTCCTCTAGACTACAAACTACAAACTATAAGGTTGGTAAAAAAGAAATGCGCGTTTTCGTTAAAAGTTTATTTTATTATAAAAACAAGATAACAAAAAAAAAGAACCGTATTGGAACCGTATTAGATCAAAAAAAGAACCGTATTGGAACCGTATTGGAACCGTATTGGAACCGTATTGGAACCGTATTGGAACCAAATTGGAACCGTATTGGAACCATATTGGAACCGTATTAGATCAAAATAGGAACCGTATTGGAACCATATTGGAACCGTATTAGATCAAAATAGGAACCGTATTGGAACCATATTGGAACCGTATTGGAACCTATTGGAACCGTATTAGATCAAAATAGGAACCGTATTGGAACCATATTGGAACCGTATTGGAACCATATTGGAACCGTATTAGATCAAAATAGGAACCGTATTGGAACCATATTGGAACCGTATTAGATCAAAATAGGAACCGTATTGGAACCATATTGGAACCGTATTGGAACCATATTGGAACCGTATTGGAACCATATTGGAACCGTATTAGATCAAAATAGGAACCGTATTGGAACCATATTGGAACCGTATTAGATCAAAATAGGAACCGTATTGGAACCATATTGGAACCGTATTAGATCAAAATAGGAACCGTATTGGAACCATATTGGAACCGTATTGGAACCATATTGGAACCGTATTAGATCAAAATAGGAACCGTATTGGAACCATATTGGAACCGTATTGGAACCATATTGGAACCGTATTAGATCAAAATAGGAACCGTATTGGAACCATATTGGAACCGTATTAGATCAAAATAGGAACCGTATTGGAACCATATTGGAACCGTATTGGAACCATATTGGAACCGTATTAGATCAAAATAGGAACCGTATTGGAACCATATTGGAACCGTATTGGAACCATATTGGAACCGTATTAGATCAAAATAGGAACCGTATTGGAACCATATTGGAACCGTATTGGAACCATATTGGAACCGTATTAGATCAAAATAGGAACCGTATTGGAACCATATTGGAACCGTATTAGATCAAAATAGGAACCGTATTGGAACCATATTGGAACCGTATTGGAACCATATTGGAACCGTATTAGATCAAAATGGAACCGTATTGGAACCATATTGGAACCGTATTGGAACCATATTGGAACCGTATTAGATCAAAATAGGAACCGTATTGGAACCATATTGGAACCGTATTAGATCAAAATAGGAACCGTATTGGAACCATATTGGAACCGTATTGGAACCATATTGGAACCGTATTGGAACCATATTGGAACCGTATTAGATCAAAATAGGAACCGTATTGGAACCATATTGGAACCGTATTAGATCAAAATAGGAACCGTATTGGAACCATATTGGAACCGTATTAGATCAAAATAGGAACCGTATTGGAACCATATTGGAACCGTATTGGAACCATATTGGAACCGTATTAGATCAAAATAGGAACCGTATTGGAACCATATTGGAACCGTATTAGATCAAAATAGGAACCGTATTGGAACCATATTGGAACCGTATTAGATCAAAATAGGAACCGTATTGGAACCATATTGGAACCGTATTAGATCAAAATAGGAACCGTATTGGAACCATATTGGAACCGTATTGGAACCATATTGGAACCGTATTAGATCAAAATAGGAACCGTATTGGAACCATATTGGAACCGTATTAGATCAAAATAGGAACCGTATTGGAACCATATTGGAACCGTATTGGAACCATATTGGAACCGGATTAGATCAAAATAGGAACCGTATTGGAACCATATTGGAACCGTATTAGATCAAAATAGGAACCGTATTGGAACCATATTGGAACCGTATTGGAACCAGATTGGAACCGTATTAGATCAAAATAGGAACCGTATTGGAACCATATTGGAACCGTATTGGAACCATATTGGAACCGTATTGGAACCATATTGGAACCGTATTAGATCAAAATAGGAACCGTATTGGAACCATATTGGAACCGTATTGGAACCGTATTAGATCAAAATAGGAACCGTATTGGAACCATATTGGAACCGTATTGGAACCGTATTGGAACCGTATTGGAACCATATTGGAACCGTATTAGATCAAAATAGGAACCGTATTGGAACCATATTGGAACCGTATTAGATCAAAATAGGAACCGTATTGGAACCGTATTGGAACCGTATCGGAACCGTATTGGATACATTAATCCCAAAGGTATTCGCCATCTGCATCAATGACTTGTCGCCAACGTTCACGCAGAGAATGGATGCCCTTCTTGAAGAACTCAACCGGCTGCGACTCGAAGAAGTTGGACACCCAAACTTGGATCTCGTCGCGGTTCTTCAACTTTTTCTCGGCCAAGGAGTGGTGCATTGATCGGAACAGATGGTAGTCGGAAGGCGTCAAGTCTGGGCTGTATGACGACGCTCATTTCTTTTTTACCAACCTAATACAAACGTAAACTACTAACACTTCTAACGCTTTTAACTTGCTTTAAATCTGCCGAATTAATATGATCTATAGCTTAAAAATATAGAATTTCAGGAGCTTTCGAATGAACTAAAGAAAATGAAAAATTTTTAATGCTAGCGAAAGTTATAGTGATTTGCAGTTTGATTCGATCGCTTTGATGAGCACAGTCCGTTTTGAGACAGGCTACAAATCACTGTAACTTTCTTTATGATTTATGTTATGATTAGTTCAAGGTGAGACTTTGGTTGTCAAGCGCATTGGAATCTACTTTTTCGCTACTTTTTCATACCGATAGCATGTTTTCACTAGTTTACTTTGAGCTCACTTGTAAACACAAGCCTTCTGGTGGACTTAATTTAGCATTTTGGCTTTGGTATAACGGTAAAGCTTTGGTATAACGAAGAAAATGAAGAATTCATTGCGTCAAAAAGGTTCGGTTTAGAAGTGAGCACAAAGTAAACTTAAACGAAGAATTCTTTTTGTAAAATAGTGATTTATCGACGTGTGCCAAGTAGACATTTGATTTATTTATTCAATTCGATTCAATTCAAATAATTTAAAGGCAGTTAAACGTTTAACTGCTTTCTATCTTTCTTTAAATTGAATTAGAAAGTTATTAAAGTTATTCAAAAGCTAAAAATAGAAAAAATTGACTCAATACTCTGTTGAGATGGACCCGATTTGATGAAAATTGAAAAAAAAACATTTGGCAAAAGGAAATCATAATTATAAGAGACGGTCAACTGGTTCAGCCGGTCAAATGACGTGGAACCTGTATTATTCGACGCAGAATTTCACGATGATTCTGAATCTGCTTTCCGTTTTTTCTGTTATTCTGGCAGGTGTTAGTCTGTCAGCTGTTAGTCTGCCAGAATAACAGCTGCCAGAATAACAGCTGACAGACTAACAGCTGTCAGAATAACAGCAAGAACGGAAAGCAAAAACGGGAAGCAGATTCTGAATCATCGTGAAATTCTGCGTCGAATGGTACAGGTTGCACGTCATTTGACTGGCTCAACCAGTTGACCATCCCTTGTTAGAAAGTAAATGCAAATTGCTAACTCTTAAAGAAGATTAGGTTATGATAGTTTAAAGACTTTTAAGCAAATAACAAATAAGCAAATAAGCAAATAGTCAAATAATCAAATAATCAAATAAGCAAATAATCTAATAATCTAATAAGCAAATAAGCAAATAAGCAAATAATCAAATAAGCAAATAAGCAAATCGATTCTATAGCAACCCTTATTTTCTGTATACAAATGAAAAATGATCAGAAAAATCAGAAAATGTACAAGACATTGAAAAAAAAATCGATTTTTAAAGCAATTATGCAATGAAAAAGATCAAAGAGTTTAAAAAAAGAGAAAAATAAATGATTACAAAACACTTTCGACTTCTTTCCCCCCGCCGGAGTTCTCTAATTCCTCAATTGGCGTCAAAAGGGCGCGCTTGGATTGAGTCTAAATTGGATTTGATAAGTTTAATTTGATAAGTTGAATTTGATAAGTTTAATTTATAATTTCTTTATAATAATCCTTTTATAGGTTACAGTAGTTTTTGTTTGTTTATTTTATTTTTAGTCTTTGCCCTAAGAAAAGTCGAATTTCCGAGAAGATTCTCCAATCCAAGTTTCCAATTCCAAGTTTCCAATCGAACCAAGTTTTACCTCGTTATAGTAATCCCCACCGGGCACCAATTCATTATAGTAGCCGTCTCCAGGTTTGGTTTGCAGGAGCTCTGAAAAGGAGTACTGTAGCTTTAAAAATATTCAGTTTAGCTGATACTGTAGTTTAGCTGATACTGTAGTTTAGCTGATACTGTAGCTTAGCTGATACTGTAGTTTAGCTGATACTGTAGCTTAGCTATTTCCCAAACTCACGTGTCTCTCCATTATCTTTGACAACGGTTGTGTAGAGGACACCACTGCCTGGAGAGGGGAGCTTCGCATTTGGCACCAAATAGTTACTATCCTCCAAAAGCATCTGTAAACGATATAGAGTATATATGGAATAAAAATACGGTAGCTAGGGCTGGGATATGGTACTTAATGCTTTAGTCGGCTCTTACTAGCTGATAGCTTACTTTGGGGTACAGTATAGGACACGATTTAGGACTAGAGTACGCTAGCAGGAGCTGGGGTAGTTAGCGCTGCGTGGTCAAAGCTGGGGTAGCTAAATCTGGAGTAGTTAAAGCTAGGGTAGCTAAATCTGGAGTAGTTAAATCTGGAGTAGTTAAAGCTGGGTAGTTAAAGCTGGATGGTTAGCGCTGGGTAGTTAAAGCTGGGTAGTTAGCGCTGGGCTAGCTAAAACTGGGCTAGCTAAGGCTGGGCTAGCTAAAGCTGGGGTTCTGTACGGTAGTCAGAATATAGAAAACTACGATTCAGTTACAGTAGTAGGATATGAACTAGGTAAATACTGCAGTCATCCCTTCTCAGTACGGTAACAGGGTTACGGTAGCTAGATTGCTGAACCTAGAGCTGGAATACTGTAGCCAGAATATCCAAAGCTCTATTACAAACTTCTTGTCTCGGTGTGGTGGGTGTTGGCGGAAGATCGTCGTGGAAGAGATCCATCGGATCCCCGCGGTATCTGCAACATTTCGATAATAGAAAAGGATAAGGCTGTACGAATAATATAGTATTATCTAGATAAGATCAATTACCAATGCTAGAACCCATCAATTACCAATGCTAGAGCCAATTTCTCACCTTGTACTTGCTGTTGATGTGAGCCGGGTCAAACGTGACCCACTCATTATCGATCCGCCTCCATTCGTGTCCTCGTAGTCCAACGGGTCTTCGCACTAAAGTACAGCTTTAAGGTGGATAGCTGGAGCTAGAGAAGCTGGATAGCTGGAGATATAGAAAAGCTCGATATATAGAAAAGCTGGATAAGATATAAGCTTGGATCTACTGTATTTCAGTAGATTCAAGCTTAAATCAAGCAAGAGATTCAGCTATTTTATTTCAAGCAAGAGATTCAGCTAACAAACCTGGAAATCAGTGTCGGTTTCCTCGAGAATCTCTTGCAAGAGCTCATTCTGTGACTGGGGAACCACTGTGTTCACTGAGTGAGCACCCTGAAGTTAAATGATAGGAGAAATGAAGGGTCAATTACAGCTTACCCTATTTACTCTAATCCCTCCCCCAAAAGCCCTCCCGCAAGTACGAAAATTTACAAACTACATACGAATAACGACTTTTTTGATAAATTTTTGATTTCTCTTGTAAACTTTTTAGGTTTACGTTTTGTTTTGTTGATTTTTACGTTTTGTTGATTTGCTTTTGATTTACTTTTTACATTTTGTTGATTTGCTGAAATAATAATTTTTAGAAGGACTGGATGTGCTCGCAGTGGATGTGCTCGCAGTGGATGTGCTCGCAGTGGATGTGCTCGCAGTGGATGTGCTCGCAGTGGATGTGCTCGCAGTGGATGTGCTCGCAGTGGATGTGCTCGCAGTGGATGTGCTCGCAGTGGATGTGCTCGCAGTGATGTGCTCGCAGTGGATGTGCTCGCAGATGTGCTCGCAGTGGATGTGCTCGCGGTGGATGTGCTCGCAGTGGATGTGCTCGCAGTGGATGTGCTCGCAGTGGATGTGCTCGCAGTGGATGTGCTCGCAGTGGATGTGCTCGCAGTGGATGTGCTCGCAGTGGATGTGCTCGCTGGATGTGCTCGCAGTGGATGTGCCCATGGATGTGCTCGCAGTGGATGTGATGTGCTCGCAGTGGATGTGATGTGCTCGCAGTGGATGTGCTCGCAGTGGATGTGCTCGCAGTGGATGTGTCGCAGTGGATGTGCTCGCAGATTTTGGAAATCGTCGTGAAGATTGGAAGGATTCTTCAAAGCCGAAACATGTCGACAAACAATTCAATGCTTTTCGATTCGATTTAAATGAAAGTTTGAATGGTGATAGCCGTCCAATAATTCAAGCCACAACGAAATAAACGATTGGAACGTTAGACGAACGACAAAAAAAGAACGTTGGACGATTGGAAAACGACAAAGAAGAACGTTGGACGCGAAGACGAAATTGGACGTTGCCAAGATAGCGAAAGATGTTTCTATTTACCTCCTGCAATGGATGTTTATCTTGATTGCTTCGTCTTGGGGAAAACTATCTTCAGAAATAATTGCCGAGTCTGTGGAGTAGAAGTTGATCACGGAAAAGAAGAGCAACTTGGCATTATCCAGCTGGAATGCTGAATGACCCCTTCCTTTGTCTTCGAAGATTCATCCCCAGAACGGAATTTAGCAAACCAGTTTGCACATGTCCGTAGTGGAGATGAGTTTTGTAACGGTCCAGAAAATGAGCTGGCTTTCGTTGTTTCCATTCAACTCCCCAAACCATCTTACAATTAGTTTTGGCTTTCATTGTGGTCCAGCTACAAAAAGTTCCCAATTCTCCACTCGGCTCCCAAATGGAAATCGATTTCTTTCTCATTTAGACTTCAAGACAAGACAAGAAATAGACTTCAAAGAGAAACACAAAATTTATCGCGTGTCTTCGAAGATTCATCCCCAGAACGGAATTGAACGAAACGATTGGAAAACGACAAAGAAGAACGTTGGACGCAAAGACGAAATTGGACGTTGTCAAGATGGCGAGAGATGTTTCTATTCACCTCCTGCAATGGATGTTTATCTTAATTGCTTTGTCTTGGGGAAAACTATCTTCAGAAATGATTGCCGAGTCTGCTGAGTAGGAATTGATCACGGAAAAGAAGATGATCTTATTGATCATCTTATTCACTGCTTCTGGCCCGATATCTTCCGGATTTAAAGCAATTTAGAGTGATTGAATAAGGAAATCGATGAAATTTTAGTCCCAAGCATCGAATCGGCAAATTTTCGTGAACCCAGGCTGAATACGATTCTGATAAATCAATTGTTTGAAATGCTGCTTTTCTTGCGTCTTACATTGGAACCGTATTGGAGCCGAATTAGATCAAAATAGGAACCGTATTGGTTCTACAGAATCTATAGTTTCTGTTAGTTTTTGCTATTGAAATCAATAATTTCATAAAAGTGACAAGGGAATTATTCTTCGCCTTTGCAAACTAGCCAGGAACTTGCCATCAAACTAGCCATTTCAACTCACCGACACATATAAATGTGGCGCTCGGCAGAAACGAAAGAAGTCATCTTTAAGGGTGACAAAAGTTGGCCGAGAATCCGGATTCGAGACCCAGCCTGGAATAAAAGAAATCACGGTGTAAGAGCTGAATAGATTGGTTTTGATACGACTAGTACATCTTCTTCTGTACTGGATCCAATACAACATTTCTTGAAAATGAAGAATTTATAATGGCGGATAGTAAAGGCATTGTATTAAGGCGCGATTTCGCACTTAGAGTACTTTTAAAATAGCAACCCATCAAATCTTTCACTCACATCGTAGCAGAACTCCATAGAGATCGACAGAGCAATTCGACGGTTGAGCCAATCGTTGTCCTTTGATGGTGAGATAGTCAAGAATCGAGTGGACATCCATTCCTTGATATGGACTCTGGAAGACAACTTTTGATGGATTTAAGGCATAGACTTAAGTCAGCCAGTCAGACTCAGGTGTAGGTCTAGATCGGGTCTAGTTCTAGGCCTAGGTTCAAATCCAAGTCTAGATCTGGTCTAGGTCTAGGTTTAGGTCCAAATCCAAGTCTAGATCTGGTCTAGTTCTAGGTTTAGGTTCAAATCCAAGTCTAGATCTGGTCTAGATCTAGGTTTAGGTTCGAATTCAGGTCTAGATCTGATCCAGGTCCAGACAGGCAAGATGTATAAGTGTATTGAATCGAAACTGACATGTCCATAGGTGAGAATCTCCCAGCATGTCACGCCAAAAGCCCAAACATCCGATGAATGGGTATAGATCGATTTCTCGAGACACTCCGGCGCCAACCATTTCACCGGCACCTGAAGTATTTGTATGCAAAATTTTCCACAACCTACAATAAATCTAATATAGTTATTTTAAAGTCAAGCACATTTTTGGTACAAATATGTGCTTGACTACAAATAAATTGGTACAACAAACCTTTCCCGATTTCACGTGCACCTCCGAGTTGCCCGGATCGATGAGTTTAGCTAGGCCAAAATCTGTTACCTAAATAGTAAACGCATCCTTTCTGGTTCATTGAAATCTTCATTGAAATCTTCAATGAATGAACTTCAATGAACTTCAATTTACCTCAACAAAATCAACAGATTTAACAAGAACATTCCTTGCAGCGAGATCTCTGTGAACGATTCGTTGTTCATATAAATATTTCATTGCCTAAAGTTTTCTTGAAATAAAAAAATGGAGAAAAGATTACTGATGAGATTTGATAGCAGTAGACAAGTAGATTTTTCCCGGTAAGATTCATTCGATGTTTTTTCAGGAATCCAAGGAGATTGCCGAGTGGACGAAGCCAAGTGACTAGCTGGAAATGTTTGAAATTCTGTTGTAAGATTTGTATAACATTTTAAATACTACTTTATACGTTAAATACTAGACGTTAAAGTATTCGACCTTCAAAATGAAAGCTTAACAAAGAATGCTTAACAAAGAAAAAAGTACTTTCCCTTATCAGGATAGGATATTTGAATACGATAGTGAAATAAGAGACTTTATAATATTGCAATACTTTTATACGATCTACAGGATTCGCCTTAATCTCTTGAATGCCTTAAAATCAGGACTTTAGCGTCACAACAAGATAAAGTCCTGATTTTAAGGCAGACAAGAGTAAAAAAAGAAAATTTTTTAAAATGAATAACCTTTATTGTACATTAACAATTATAAAGGAACTATCAAATTTGAATTAGCATTATTAGGATCTGAGCAGGCTCGCAGACGTTTCGGGAAGGCGTCAACGGTGGCGACCAAATAGGCTGGATCGAGCTCACGCTTTTAACAATGATTTCTTCAAGCTTTTGATGTTTTTGTGGGACTTTGAACAAGCTTTGGCTTCTAGAATCGACCATACTAAAAAAATCCATTGGGTTGAGGTCTGGAGAGCTAGGTCTGGGGTCTTGAGAGCTAGGTCTGGAGTCTGGAGTCTTGAGAGCTAGGTCTGGAGTTTGGAGTCTGGAGAGCTAGGGCAAACTCTCCAGACTCAGAAAAAGAAATGAAGTCCGGGAAGTTGTTTTGGCAGAACTCTTGGACTTTCTTGGATTTGTGGGCCGGTGCGCCACCTTGCTGATAAGTCCAAATGCGATTTTCAAAATGTTTACGAGCCCAGGGCAAGAGTTCATCATTGAGAAGCGCCAGGTAATCGGAATTGACTTTCACGCCTTGGGAAACAAGTATGAGAGGAGTATTTCCTGTTGCAGTGATGCCGCAAAAAAACCCATCATAGAAGCTGGATGTACACTTCGAGAATTCGGTAGAGACTTGGCCGTAGCATTTGGCCGAGATTTGGCACATACTTGATCATTTTGCTTGCTAAGAAGGCTTTCAGTATCTTTTCCCTCTGTGAACAAGATATTGTGGTAGTCAATTCCATTGAAGCACATCAATAACTGATCTGCTCTCAATTTTCGCTTGTTTTTAGTGGGATTCGAAAGAAGTTGAGCCTTGTTTTTCTTGTAAGCAGTAAGTTTGAGCTTATTTTTTGAGGATCCGACGCAATGAGGTGCTTGAAATCGCCATCTTCTTTGCCATTTGCCTTGTCGGCTGGTTTGTCGGCACGACTGATGACTTCCGAATTCGGTGACGACCGATGAGTCAACTAGCTTGATGTTTGTCTTTGCGACAAGAGTTGGGCTGTCTTCTTGGTGCATCAGCAATTGTTCCCGAAGCTTCGTAGCTTTGAATAGTGCGGAAAATGACACTCCTGTTGACTTCAAGACGCTTATGAATCTCCGGCGTCGAGACTTCTCGCTTGTGCAATTGGATGATCGATTTTGGATGAGGATTTTCCAGCCATTCTGAAAAACAACACATGGGCTTGGGCTGTCTTCTTGGTGCATCAGCAATTGTTTCCCGAAGCTTCGTAAGATAAAAAGTTTCAATTATATTCCAAATATAATAAAAACACAAAAGAAAAACCAGAAATATAGCTTAAATCAACCAGTTATTGTCCTTGAAAGCGCGTGATATCTTGTTGCGACAATTATGGCGCATCCTGTACAATCTCAACATCATAGGCAGTATTACACTATTGCAATTCTCACCTGAACAGTATTGTCAGCAAAGCAGATTCCCAGGAAGCGAATGAGATGTGCATGGCGGAGAGAGGCCATCTTGGTCGCTTCGTCCATCATTTCCTGAACTCGGTGCATTATACTTGTTCACTGAGGTGTACTTTGTGCTCAGTTCTGTAAACGCGCCCAGTCTCTAGCTCTGAATTCTTCAACAGCGAGTTGCTGTGAGAAAAGTGTGGGCCAGAAAAACATTAGAGTTTACAGTAGAGCATTACAAAGTTCACAGTAGAGCACAAAGTATACCAGCACAAAGTACACCAGCATTGTTTCTCTCTGGATAATTCTATGTCTAATCCTCTCCATACCGATTGCTCAGTGCTATTTTCATGGCTCGTCATCCCTTTCACACTCTTGATCACTTTTATGGCCACCGGGAATTTCCGGTTGCACTTTCGGTAGTAGCCCTGAAAGTAGAGATTTTGAGATCAGAATTTGACATTTCCTTACCGCATACACAATTCCAAAAGCTCCTTCACCCAGCACTTTGCCTTGTTTCGTTAATTCGTCAGCGGTGATCACATTGAAATGATTCATGTTCGGACGGGCCATCGGGTCTGAAATTTAACAGCTTCATAGCTTTGACAGCTTCATAGCTTTGACAGCTTCATAGCTTTGACAGCTTCATAGCTTTGACATCTTCATAGCTTTGACAGCTTCATAGCTTTGACAGCTTCATAGCTTTGACAGCTTCATAGCTTTAACAGCTTCATAGCTTTGACAGCTTCATAGCTTTGACAGCTTTCGGTGGGTATGAAATGTGGCTATTTTTCCGATTGATTCCTAAATCCTAAATCCGATTGATTCTATTTTTAGCGACATTTCATACCCACCAACCCTACTTAAAAGTATTTCTGGAATCTTGAGTACAGCAGCCAATTGTGGCAAAATAGCTTAGCACTCTCTTTTTGCTAGTCTCTTTCTTTCTGCTACTCTCTTTCTTTCTGCTTTCTATTTTCTTGCAGTCAGGGATCTAGAAAACGTGAAATTCAGTGAATCAGAAAGAAAGTTTAAGCAAAAAGTACGCTCTTTACAAAGTACGCTCTTTTCTCAAAACAAAATCCTCACCAAATGGAATCTCTTCCGGCAAATCGGGTCCATTCACGATTTTCTCTTCGGTATATTTATTCTTGTAGTATCGACATTTCCAACAGACAAAGAAAACGCCAATGAGTGCGAGGATGATTGCCCCGATGACAATGACGATGATTGCTTTCCTCCACAGCACCCACTCTTTCGTGCGACAGAATTTCGAATGCTAAAAGGATTTGTAAAAGAATAGTGAAAGATACAAAAAGTAGATTGGATTAAAGGCAAAACTAGAGTGTTTTTCTCGTGATTAAATCATTAATTGAATTAATTTGGATAAAGAAATTTGTAATCGATTAAAGTCAATGAATGAAGATTTGTCTTAATTAATGCGTCATTGATTAGTTCATACAAATTGGTTCATATGCAAATTGGCATGTACAAATTGACATGTACAAATTGAATGGGCTGAAGTAGCCATGAGCGCTACAAACTACAAGGCTAAACTACAAACTACACCGCCAAACTACAAACTCTTGTAAAAACGCGTAAAATAGATATTTTTGGAAACTCTTTTTACCAAAAAATTCGGCTAACTTTAGGCTTTCTAATGGCACCAAAATCAAGTCAATCCATCATTTCTACTCCGAGAACGAGTCATTTATAGCTGTTTTTAGTCTCTGAGACTACAAACTTGGAACAAACGTTCGCTCTCAGCGCCTAAAACATGATTTGGTCTAAAGTTGGCCTAAATTCGAAAGCCTAAAGTTAGCCGAATCTTTTGGTTAGCCGAATAGTTTGTAGCGCAAGTTTATAGTTTAGAAAGCCTGCTTTGCTTTAGAAAGCCTGCTTTAGAAATTACTGTAGATTTCGAGAGTTCCCATATGTTTACCTTTTCATAGTGTGGATGCTCGGAATCACACTCGCTCAAGCACGTCCTTGTTCCATTCGAGTGCAGAATTGTCGCGTTTTTGCACTAAATGTCCGGATCAAAGTTGACAAAATTATCCAAAACTGAATATCTATTTATATTTACAATCTAACACATTCTAACATTTATATTTACAATCTAAGAATACCTTATTACAGTCGAGATTCGTCGGCCCTCTGCAGCCACCCTCACAAAACGAATGGCACAGCTCGCATTGCGTCACATTTCGCTCACCAATGTCAACTTCGATGGGGAAACCACGGGTTCTAGAATAGTAAAGGGATAAGGTATATATAGTAGGGTCCAAAAGTTTGGAACAATCACCTTGCGGCAACTTTAACTCGATGTAACTTGCGTTAAATACATTCAATTTTGTTACTTTAAATACATTTGTTACTTTAAAAACTATTTTTGTCGCATTTTTTGTGAACTTTCTGAATGTCTACTTGATTTTATTTGATATTTGATCTTTTTTTTTGTCTTGCTCTTTTTCTTGGAACACCCATTTTTTAGGGGTCCAAAAGTTTAGAACAATTTCAAAAATAACAATACTTTTTTAATTTTAGGATGCCAAATCGTTCGAATTTGACGGAGTATGATAAAGAACTTATTGTGGCTGAAGTAAATCGAGGAAAGAGCCGTCAAGAAGTCGCCACAACATTCGGTGTCACCCATTCAGCAGTAACCAAGATTTATAACAAATGAAAGGTTTCCGGAAATGTGAAACGAGCAGTAACAAAGGGAAGGCCAGCTAAACTGGATGAGCGTGATGAGAGGACACTTGTGCTTCCATTTAAGAAGAATCCACGCCTCAATTCAGCTGATCTGCGTCGAGACTATGTCAACTAGTCAACGAGACTAATCAAGCTATGGAGTTTCGCTCTCCAAAACGACGGCTAAGCGCATCTTAAAGTAATTTTATGATTTAAAAAGCAATCAAATATTGCTGTTTAGGAGACAAGGACTCAAAGGAAGTCGTCCGTCTCGAAAGCCGTTGATTTCCGGCAAGAACGTGAAGGCTCGGCTCGAGTTTGCCAAGAAGTACAAAGACTGGTCGGCTGATGATTGAAGTGATGTATTGTGGAGTGACGAAAGCAAATATGAGCTCTTTTCCACCAATGGAATTCGATACATTAGACGTCCAATTAATCAAAGAAACAATCCAAAGTATCAAATTCCAACAGTCAAACACGGCGGTGGATCAGTTCTCGTTTGGGGTTGGTTACCTCCATTATCAACGGAGCCTATTTGAATTTAGGTTGTTTTTCACGATACGGTGTCGGTCCACTTGTCCGAATCAATGGTATTATGGATGCAGCTGTTTATGAAAACATCTTGAAGACCCATATGCTTCCACACGGCAGAAACAACTTGGCCAACGACTTCATTTTCATGCACGAAGCATACGGCACGAAGCATACGGTCATCCGAAGCATACGGCCCGGCGTGTTAAGCAATGGCTCCAACAAAAAAATGTCGATGTGCTTCAATGGCCGGCTCAAAGCTCTGATCTGAATCCAATAGAGCATCTTTGGGAGCATTTGGACCGACAAATCCGTACCAGGAACTTCACAAAAACATCAGAACTCATGAAGGCGCTTGAGGAGGAATGGACTAAGATCCCAAGGCAAATCATTGACAATTTGATTGATTCGATGCCAAATCGTTGCGCAGCTGTTATTAAAACAAAGGGAAACGCCACAAAATACTGAATTTTGCCGGTTAATCGTTAAGTAAATTGTTATTTTTGAAATTGTTCCAAACTTTTGGACCCTACTGTACATCTCTCGAAAATTATCCAAATTATAACTTATTTCAATTAGCCTACCCGCAATCCGTCACACACTCTCGATCGTTCGAGCCTGGTTCCACTGGGATGCTAAAAAAGATTTGTAAAAAGGGCTTAAAAATAATATCTATGCTATAAAATTTGTATATCATTGAATAATGTATATCTACCGTAATTCTTTTATTAGAACGACATGCTCCAATAGAATAGTTTTTGAATGTATTGAAAAATAGTGCGACATGCTCCAGAGAACGCCCCTCTTTTTAACAAATTGAACATTTTTTTCAAAGCGAATAGCAAACATTATTTCTCTTTCCCATCCTGTTTACTAATTTTTACTACTGTTTTTAATATTATTTATTAATGTTCTTTTTTAGGTATGCTTCATTCGAACGAGGATTTGCAAGAGGAGAATCAAGAGGGTTTTCAAGAGGGTTTTCAAGAAGTAGATGCAGTTGGTGAAGCAGAAAACGATGGAGAGGATGCAGTTGTTGAAGAACAAACGCTGACGATGGAGAGGATGCAGTTGATGAAGAACAAAAAGCTGACGATGGAGAAGATGCAGTTGTTGAAGAACAAACGCTGACGATGGAGAGGATGCAGTTGATGAAGAACAAAAAGCTGACGATGGAGAAGATGCAGCATGAAGCAAAGGCTACGTGGGAGATGCAGCTGGTGAAGAGCAAAGACGGAAGGATGCAGTTGTTGAAGAACAAACGCTGACGATGGAGAGGATGCAGTTGATGAAGAACAAAAAGCTGACGATGGAGAAGATGCAGCTAGTGAAGAACAAAAGGCTGACGATGGAGAAGATGCAGCTGGTGAAGAGCAAAACGCTGACAATGGAGAGGATGCAGATAGCAATTGCTCTTTCTATATTCAAAAAAGAAAGCGTCGAGCTTTTGATACTTAATGGGCAATCATCAAGTACACAAAGGAATCAAACAACGCTGCCTTAAAACGATTAGAAGTTACAAGATCAACGATCTAAGCATTGTTCTAAGTTGATCTAGGTTGGAGCTAAGCAAAATTCGATGTGAGAACAACTACAATTTTGCAATCAAACAGCAGTTTTCTTCAATCATTCAAACGTTAAATGCGTGGTTGAAACCGAAGCTCGAGAAGTTTCTGTGCTGGTAACGATAAAGTGAATGTTTGAAAAATAGAGCGACATGTTCTAATTGAACGCTACGCTCTGATGGAAAAAAGATGTTGCCTTACGTGCTCTTGCCAAGGAAACGAGTAGATTCAAAGATTGAACAGAAGTTCAAACAGCAGCTGGTACTTTGTTGGAAAGGCTGGTTTAATTCCGCATTCAATTCAGCATTGTTACCGGGCTTTGAAAAATAGAGCGACATGTTCTAATTGAAGGAGAGTTTTTGGAGGCATTGAAAAATAGAACAACATCTCGTTCTAATAGAAGAATTACGTTCTAATGAAGGACTACGTTCTGATAGAAGAATTACGTTCTGATAGAAGAACTACGTTCTAATAGAAGGACTACGTTCTGATAGAAGGACTACGTTCTGATAGAAGAACTACGTTCTAATAGAAGAACTACGTTCTGATAGAAGAATTACGTTCTAATAGAAGAACTACGTTCTAATAGAAGAGCTACGTTCTAATAGAAGAGCTACGTTCTGATAGAAGAATTACGTTCTGATAAAGAATTACGTTTTAATAGAAGAACTACGTTCTAATAGAAGAATTACGTTCTAATAGAAGAGCTACGTTCTAATAGAAGGACTACGTTCTAATAGAAGAATCAATTGTGAGTTATAAAATTTGTATATCATCGCTGTATCTAATTCTAATTATATCTAATTCTAATTATATCTAATTCTAATTATATCTAATTCTAAGTATATCTAATTGTAAGTATTTTCAAAGTCTTATCCAACCTCATATGAAGGCATTCACATCTTGACTCTTGCACCGAGGTGCCGCCCGTTTTACAGCGTTTACACTCAGGCGCACATCGTTTACATTGCTGAAAATTGACTATTTTATATAAATCTAAATAACTTTTTATCTAGGTAATTAGATATGTAATTTCAAATATTACACACAATTCTTGACCCTTCTGGATAGGCAAAATATTTCTCGAAACCGTTCAGCTCGCACGCTTGCGAATCATGGTGCTCGGCGCGGTCCACGTAAAGACATCTAAAAGAAAAATAGGTGAGAATATAAAATTTACTATACAGTAAGCTTTGGATATCAAAACATGGCTTGTTTGAACTAGATCAAGGGTTACAGTAGCTGGTCAGGAATCAGAAATGATCAGAAAACCTCGGCTTGAATCTCCCTAGCATTTTGATCTTTCTTGGTCTTTATAAATGATATGATTAGGGCTGTTCCGAAAGCTAGAAGTCATGGCTAGCTAGACCAGGCCATTTAGCTGGCTGAGCTGGCTTTGGCCTGGCCTGGCCTGAAATTTTTGATCTAAGAACAGCCCTAGATGCAATAGCCAACCTAGCAAACTTGAATTACTCCCAAATTGACCAAATGGGTTGTTACGGTATCCGAGTCTAATCCTGTTCTGGGTCTGGCTTGGCTCTGACTTGGCTCTAAGTTAGTTCTGATCTGGTTCTGGCTCGTCTTGCTCTGTTCTGGCTCGTCTTGCTTTAGCTCTGGCCTGTACCTGTCCCAGTTTCAAACTAGGCTCTGGCGCTATCTAGCTCTGAGCCTGGAAAGATTTGTTGACTGGATTTGGCTGGCTTTAGCTAAGCCTGTCCTTGATCGGATTGGACTTTCTGGACAGCTTAATAACTGGCTAGCTTAACAACTGGCTTAACAACTGACTTAACAACTGGCTTAACAACTGGCTTAACATTAGCTGAGCCAGTCTAATCAGTTCTGAACTCAGCCTAGCTTGATCTGACTTTACTACTTGGCTTGGTCTGCCTTGGTTTTGCTTTAGAGCTTTATTTTTATCAAAGTACCCAGAGCTTTATTAAAGTACTTAAAGTCAGACAAAACCGAAAAGCCGACAAGGTCAGAAATGGACCTGACAACTGGCCTGGCTTTGGTGTGATCTGACCTGGCTCTGGCTTACCAGAAGAACTGGCTCTGATCTGACCTGGCTTTGGTGTGATCTGACCTGGCTCTGGCTTACCAGAAGAACTGGCTCTGATCTGACCTGGCTTTGGTGTGATCTGACCTGGCTCTGGCTTACCAGAAGACCTGGCTCTGATCTGACCTGGCTTACCAGAAGACCTGGCTCTGGCTCTGGTTAGGATCTCCTAGAGGAGTGGAATCCCCAGGCTCAAAATGGTATAGCACACAGTGTAGCACTTCTACTTTATAATACAACACTCCTCAAGGAATCTAAGATTCTACAAGCAATGGCAATACGTTGCATAACATTTCACATAACATAGCATAGTTCAAAGGGTTCAATTTTTTCAACCCACTTGTACTGGTGATGAGTCGCATCCCCAATCTCCACATAGATCGAGCAATTGTTGCATCCTTGTGCCCCGATAATATCGCTTGAACCTGTGCATCTAAAAGGATGAAACAAGTGAAAAAAAGTAGAGTCAAAAAGACTGTCAAAAGAGTTAGTTTTCTTGGTTAGTATGCGGTTTTCAGAGAAAGCGATTTGGTTGAGGTTACACGTTTATTTTTGCGAATAATCCCTCAGCCCACCCATTGTCGTAACAGCTTTGATGACATTTGAGACATTCGTTCCCCAATCGATAGTAACCAATTGGACACTCGGCCAGACATTTCAACTTCCCATCTTTTACCTAAATATGGCTGCTTTTTGGCCATATAAACTGGTTTATGACTTTAAATAGTACAGCTTTGACTTTAAAGTACAGTTTTTTGCAATAAACTACTTAGCTTGTTGCAATAAACTACTAATATGTTTCTAAGCCTTTTGTTAGCATTTAGCTTTTGTTAGCACTTTGCTTTTTAGCACTTTGCTTTTTTTAGCATTTAGCTTTTGTTATCTTAAATCTAGCGCCTTTCTAGCGCACTTATTGCTAAGAAAAAGAAGAATCAAATGCAGAAAAAGGGTAAGTTTACAAATTAATACAAAAAAGGCTATAGGACAGCTAGTTTAACTTAGGCTATAGGACAACTGGTTATCCTGGCTCTAATGGGACTCTATTTAATTGGTCTCTGTTTAATTGAACTCTATTTATTGGACTCTATTTATTGGACTCTATTTATTGGACTCTATTTAATTGGCCTCTGTTTAATTGGCCTCTATTTAATCCAAACACACTCTTTCTCTCTTTCGAACTCTTTCGAACACTCCAGAATACCGAAAACTTATCAATAAGTGCACCAGAAAGATTTACATACAAGCCCACTCACCAATCTCACATTTCGGCACTCCAAACAATCTCCTTCTCCAGGTCCGTTGCATTGAAGACATTGATCTGAGCACTTCTCACAGACTTGTTCTTGGAAACCTTTCTTGCTCGGACGGTGCACTTCTCGATAGCTAGAAATTAGAAGATGTTCGAATGAGAATTAGAATTAGAAGACGTTCGAATTGTTCGAATTATATTATAATAAAGCCCGGGGATTCAAATTCTAATAGAAAATCTCTAATTTCACTCTTCAGAAGCCGCTACTCCGTCAACAACTTCTTTGGTGAACTAGTGGATAGAATAATTAGAAGAGTTAGAACAGTTGGAACAGTTGGAACAGCTGGAACATGTTCTTATTGGTGAGGCTCTAACAACGACGAAATCTTTGCACTAAATAATGTCAAATCCCTATTTTTGTTTATAGTAATCTTTTGGTTATCAGTCTAAAAAAAGAATAAAATAAAAAAAGCGGCTTCTAATAGAGTTTTTACGGTATAAAAGCCTTTGAAATTCATTAGACTAAGCCTAAGCCTAAGCCTAAGTCTAGGCCAAAGTCTAAGCCTAAGCCTAAGCCTAAGTCTAGGCCAAAGTCTAAGCCTAAGCCTAAGTCTAAGTCTAAGCCAAGCGGGTGTGCCTTAGCTCCGAGAACTGGCCGAGATCCAGAAAATGGGGGTATAGCCCAAACCCAAATAGACTTAGTGCTAGGCGCTAGCCGCTAGCCTACGCACTAAGTCCAAGCCTAAGCCTAAGCCTAAGCCTAAGCCTAAGCCTGAGCCTAAGCCTAAGCCTAAGCCTAAGCCTAAGCCTAAGCCTAAGCCTAAGCCTAAGCCTAAGCCTAAGCCTAAGCCTAAGCCTAAGCCTAAGCCTTACCCAATCGTCGAACATTTCTGAACACATCTCCCCTCTTGACTCCATTGAAGACATTTTCGACACATCGCCGCCCCAGCACCCCAACAACCAAATGCTGGATCACAATTCACATCACAAACAAGTTGACGCCCAACTAGAAATTGAAGACTTTATCCAGTTTTGATGGGACAAAAATCTGTGCTTGATAACATGCCAAATCATTGTGAAATCTCGATGTTAAACGTTAGAAGTTAAGATAACTTTTTTGCTTGTAAACAAACCCTTTCTGGCTTGTAAACAAATCCTTTCTGGCTCACTGAGTTCTCCAGTTCTCCAGTCCAGTTTTTCTTTTCTTTAGAAGCTTACTTTAGAAGGAAACTTTAGAAGAAAATAAGAATAAAAAAGAGAAATTCAAACGCGCCAGAAAGGTAGCGTTTACATTTGAACACAGAAAAGAGCCACTTTTCTACACAAAGTGCATTGTAAACATAAAAAGATAGTGGTGCTAAAATCAAAAAGAAAAGTGCGAAAATGAGTTTTGAACGGTGATCATTTTGTGCTAAAAAAACCTTACAATCATCAAAGCATTTTCCTGTTTCGCTTCCGTTTTCTGAAAATCGTATTTATCACGAGAATACCCACCACACGCATCCCACAGACCTTGCACTCTTGTGCTCGAATTTCGATCGGTGATCCCGGTAAAAGTGCGATTTTCAAGGAAACAGAGAAGCGAGTTGTCCTTAACGAGAACTTCACCGCGGCGGATCTGCGAAAAAAAAGATTACATTGGTAATTTTGTACATAAAATCCACGTATTCGTATTTGTAATAAAGTGAAGGAATTTAGCAAGCACTTTCCTGGAAAGGGATTGAACCCTCGACCTTTTGCTGGCAATTGCTCTAACTGACCTATCCGCTACTTTAACTTGACAAGAAAAAGAGAGAACGACAAGGGAAAAGAAAGGAGCAAGGAAGAAAGGAAGAAAGAAGGAGGAAAGGAAGAAAGAAGGGAGAAGGAAGCAATGAATAAAGGAAGAAAGAAAGAAGAAAGGATAGAAGGAAGGATAATGAAACATGTACAAAATGAGCTCTAAACCTAGTTGCCTAGTAAATCTAGTAATCTACTGGTTCCCATGAATATTGAACACTCAGTAGACACAAGCATTGGTGTTCTAAACCTGAGAGATCAAACCTGAGAGATCAAACCTGAGAGATCAAACCTGCTAAGGTCAGACTTGCTTGGATCTGCGCTAACGCTAACGCTAACGTTCTGTAGGTTTACGGGTTTGATCCCAAATGGGAAATGGGAAAATATACAGTTCAGGCTCGAGTTTAATGAATCTCACTCACCTGATGTAAGTTTTTCATATCGACCGATCGAAGATTGAGATTGCCTGAGACCAAGAGCGCATATTTTTCCCTGTAAACTTTATTTTACAACTAAAATAGCACAACGAACGATGCTAATTTCCGTCCTTCGATCACTTCAACGCTTTCGAGAAAGCCAAGCGAGCTGAGAGAGCCCAAGCCGACCACTTCAACGTACTAGAAAATTGTTGGGTTGAGTACTGAGTAGCTTAAGTTTTAGGTTTCTTTAGCTGAAGTTTCTTTGGCTGAAGTTTCTTTAGTTTTAGGTTTCTTTAGTTTGAAGTTTCTTTAGCTAGTTCTTTAACTAGTTTCTTAGCTAGTTCTTTAGCTAGTTCTTTCGCTAGTTCTTTAGCTTTAAGCTTTAGATTGGCTGAATATCTTTGAAACTTTCGATCTCGAACATCTCGAACACTTTCGATCTCGTAACGTACTTGCGTGATTTGTCGAACAGTCTTCAAGTAGTCCAATTTCTCGAGTCGGAGCCCTTTACGCATTCGTTTCGACTTTGCATCGCTAAAGTTTAAGCTCAACTTACTAGTTGGATAAATAAATAGCATTAATCCAAATAATGTAATGTTCTTTGAACATTTATAACATACATGTAATGATCGCTGAAAAGATGGGGTTGTAATTTGATGAAACCGTCGATTTCAGTGCAATTCTGAAGTTGCTCGATGTTCTCGGAGTTGATCTCCTCTTCAAGACGACAAGCTATAAATTAAGCAAAGCTATTTTCTTTAATACAGACAGAATATTGTACTTTTTCTTTCATTCATGAGTTTGCCATGCTACTTGAGTTTGTTCCTCGTGATTAAACTTTGCGCCTCAGTCTACTTTGCGTCAAACTTTCTGCTCAACTGGATCATTTGCGCAACTCGCCATAACTCTCTTCTAAGTGAGCCAATCTTTATGATTTTGGTTTCATTTTGTTGCACTTATTGAGATCAACAAAATGACATCAAAAACATAAATATTGGTTAAGTTCGAAGAAAGTTATGGCGAGTTGTGCAGAAAACCGTTGACGTGCAGTTGACGTTGATGCAAACTAGCCCCCTATCGCTCGATCGCTCAGGATCGCAAATGATCGCTCGGGATCGCTCAGGATCGCTCAGGATCGCTCAGGATCGCAAATGATCGCTCAGAATCGCTCAGGATCGCAAATGATCGCTCGGGATCGCAAATGATCGCTCAGGATCGCTCAGGATCGCAAATGACCGCTCGGGATAGCAAATGACCGCTCAGGATCGCAAATGATCGCTCAGAATCGCTCAGGATCGCAAATGATCGCTCAGGATCGCTCAGGATCGCTCAGGATCGCAAATGATCGCTCAGGATCGCAAATGATTGCTCAGGATTGCAAATGATCGCTCAGGATCGCTCAGAATCGCAAATGATTGCTCAAGATCGTAAATGATCGCTCAGAATCGCAAATGATCGCTCAGGATCGCAAATGAGCCTGAGCCTGAGCCAAAGTTTAACAAACAAACAAATTTACATAACTACGATAGCTTTTTTACAAAGCGCGTTGATCACGAGAAACACACTCTACTTTTATTATCAAGAGATCACACTGGCAATCGCGTTTCTTTAGAATTCTTTTGTTTTACTAAAACATTCCCGTTTACCATTCTCTATTTTTGACTTTGTTCTTCAAGGATTTATAAAGCATATCAATAGATACAAATGGTTGAATTACCCACGTATACCAAAGCCTTTTAAACACTTACATTTCGGACAAGTTCCTTGACATGGTTTGCACTCTCGAGTTCCCAAACGGGCATCATGAAAATGACCCTCACTGCAACGGAGGACACAGTACGCTCCCTCGATAAGGGTACCCACTGAAAAAGATTTATGGTTTTTAAAAATAAAAGCTTTAAGATCTAGAAATCGAATCGTTTAAAAGAGTCAAGGTTTTAAAGATTCAAGGTTCTAAAGCTATTGTAATCATTCTAATAATCATTCTAATAATCATTCTAATAGAAAGTCAATGTTTAACTTCAGAATCTTTTTGTTGTGCCCTTAAATACAGTACACCTTTTCTAAAGTTCATGAGAACTCTCGGATTTGAACTCGTGAAATAGCAGATGGCTTCTCTCATGCTGTTCATTTTCATGAACAGCATGAGAGAACAGCATTTTCATGAACAGCATTTTTCTGATTTTACGACGATGTGCACTCTCCTGACCTTGGTGTTGACATTGGTATTCAATACCTATTGAACCAGGTCTTGAACTAGGTATTGAACTAGGTATTGAACTAGGTATTGAACTAGGTATTGAACTAAGTATTGAACTAGGTATAGAGCTAGATATTGAACTAGGTATCGAACCAGGTATTGAACCAGGTCTTGAACTGGGTATTGAACTAGGTATTGAACTAGGTATTGAACTAGGTATTGAACTAAGTATTGAACTAGGTATAGAGCTAGATATTGAACTAGGTATCGAACCAGGTATTGAACCAGGTATTGAACTAGGTATTGAACCAGGTATTGAACTGGGTATTGAACTAGGTATTGAACTAGGTATTGAACCAGGTATTGAACTGGGTATTGAACTAGGTATTGAACTAGGTATTGAAGCAGGTATTGAACCAAGTATTGAACCAAGTATTGAACCAGGTAAAAGCCATATTGATTCACCGCTGGGATCTACTCCATAAATACTTAAAGTTTTCAAGTTATGATAAAAAGCAGTCTATTTTCAACAGCAGCCTCAAGCGAAATGTGCTCGTGCACATTTCGCTCAAGCTCGTGGCCCAGCCTCAAGCGAAAATTTCAAAAAGCCTAAAAATCGCTTATTGTTCGGTTTTTAACTTAAAAAAAAGACTGTTTTTCTATAAAAATGATTACAGGTTTAAAAAAATGATCTTTATGCTAGAGATCTACAAACCGGGACACTCTTGTAGACAGCTTTTCGCATGCGTAAAGCGACCAAGCGGATTCCGAGTACGCGTCGTTGAGAGTGGGTCTAGCCTGGAAAAATGCTATAGATCTAGATGTAAATGATAACCAGATTTAGATATATAGATGATATATCTAATTTATCTAATATATTAGCTGAATATTTATCTAAATTCACCGATACAATGGCGCACAGTGCTCGACGCAGCGTTTCGTGTCCTCGTCTCGGTAGTTCTTGCAACCCTGAATTGCAAAAGAGATTTTATTCAAATTTTCTTGTCAATTAACTAATTGATGGCTTAGATAAAGTAGTTTAGATATAGAATTAGATAATAGATAATATAGTAATAAATTTTTGAGTTTACATAGCAATCCCTTGAAGTCGGTCCATGGCACCCGGCGGCGCACTCGGCGTCACAGCATTCGTAACTGGTGGCTGGAATTTAGGCTTGTTTTAAGGATCCTGGATCTATCTGGGTACCTGGATCTATCTGGATATCTGGATCTATCTGAATACCTGGATCTATCTGGATACCTGGATCTATCTGGATATCTGGATCTATCTGAATACCTGGATCTATCTGAATACCTGGATCTATCTGGATATCTGGATCTATCTGACATTACTATACTTAGCTTTTTGATATCTAAACTTAGCCATACTAGTTACCGTACCATTCGTGATTTGATCCCTCTCGAGGTAGCAAGCGTTCGCGTTCTTTTGGCAAGCCTTCGTGCATTTTGAGCGAACCACTGAAATTTCGAGATTTGGAGATTGGGAGATTTGAATTTTAATCTTAGATTTCGCAGGTTGCAGTACAGTACACTAAGTACAGTACTCTAAATACAGTACAGTAAGTACAGTACAGTAAATAAGTACAGTAAGTAGGTACAGTAAGTCCAGTAAGTAAGTACAGTAAGTAAGTAAGTACAGTACAGTACAGTAAGTAAGTACAGTACAGTAAGTAAGTAAGTACAGTACAGTACAGTAAGTAAGTACAGTACAGTACAGTAAGTAAGTACAGTACAGTACAGTAAGTAAGTACAGTAAGTTACGCAAGTTACAGTTACAGCAAGTTAGAGGCAAGTCACGAGTTTTTAAAATTATCGATGACAGATAAACTGGTGACAGATTCGCCGCAGTAAACTGGCGCTGCCTTGCTCTAATTCTGAGTAAGTACAGTAAGTTCGAATGATTAGGATCTAAAGATTACATCCAAACATCCAATGATTACGCATAGGCATCGAAAATTCGATTATGTATCTTATTCGTGTTAGTTAGTACTCATTTTTGCACACCTTGCTGACAATTAGCGGCCTCTGGTCCATAGCATCCCGATTCACAACTTGGATGACATGCGAGTTTCTCTTTGGCGCACGCTTTTCCTCCATTTTCGGACAGCTGAGCTCGAGATGATCCGTTCTTTTTCGTTGTTGGTTCAAGGATCTAAATTGAAAAGATAATAAAAGATAATGAAAGATAATGAAAAGAATGAAAAGAATGAAAAGATCATGATAATAAGTACTTTCCTCAATAATAAGATAAGACTACTATCGGACTTGAAAGCTGCCTTTGTCTTTACATGTCGTTGAAAGCCTTACATGGCTCTGTGGATTAGTCTAGTATAGTCTAGTCTAGTCTAGTTTAGTCTAGTCTAGTTTAGTCTAGTCTAGTCTAGTCTAGTCTAGTCTAGTCTAGTCTAGTCTAGTCTAGTCTAGTCTAGTCTAGTCTAGTCCTAATCTTTCTTATTGGTTGGCTTGATCTATCATGATTCCTGTTTTGTTTTGGTCTTTTTTGATTCTATTAGGCTGTCTAGAAAGCCTTTTCTAATGAAAAAAAGAAAAATAATTGTCGTTTCTAATGTAGTTTAATTGATGGATTTGTTGGTTCTAAACGGAAGAACGAAAAGAAACGAAAAGACTTTCTGGACAGCCTAATAGTTCTAGTTGAGATATTCCTGGTTTGTTCTTGCTTGATCTGTTCTGGCTTGATCTGTTCTGGTTTGATCTGGTCCTAGACTGATCTAACCGAATCTGATCCTAGCCTAGATCAAACCTAGATCAAACCTAGATCTAATCTAGACCTAATCTAGATCAAACCTAGATCTAACCTAGATCTAACCTAGATCTAATCTAGATCAAACCTAGAGCTAACCAAGCTTAGTCCTGATCTAGCTTTGCCCAATCTAACCAAAAAAAACGCACTGGGCCAGCCAGCTGCCTTTACAACAACCGAACTCCTGCTAGCCTCACTAACCTCTTCCCAATGAATCGAATTCGCATAGCAGAAGTCTCGATTCTGCCCAATTCCCACATTTCCGTTGATGACTCCTACATAGGATTTAAAGATTATTAATTAGTTTAAAGATCCATTTAAATATTTAGAATTGAAAGATTTATTAATTAGAATTTAAAGATTATTAATTAGAGTTTAAAGATTATTAATTAGAGTTTAAAGATTTATTAATTAGAATTGAAAGATTATTAATTAGAGTTTAAAGATTATTAATCAGAATTCCATCCAAATTACTTCATAAGATAGGTCTTAAAGTTCTTAAAATTCTTAATAAATTAAAAATTTGCATACCTCTTAAATTCGGCATATTCACTTGTTCGAGCATCGGATTGTGGACAATCTAAACGTGAATTTGAAGGCAGCGTTTGTTTGCACCAGGCAGTGTTTGTTTACAAGATTGAGCAAAAAGTACATCAAGAAAATCGAATGTACTTTGTGCTTAGTAAAGGCACCTTCTGATGCACTTTTTCTTCAATTTCCTGATGATTTTCTTTAGTTTAAGAAGAAAACTGAAGAATTGAGTAGACGGGGAGAGGTGGGTTTACAAGTGAGCACAAAGTACATACTAAGTACATACTAAAGTACATACAAAGTACATAAGGTTCATACCTCAATAGCCATATCGTTGATTCCCGGTCGATGCAGGCTTTCACCCCAAACAATCTCCAAATTTCGCATGCTGATTCTTTTGAGACGATTATTGTTGTAAATAAGGATGTAGCCTTTGACCTGAAAGTGAAAATGCTTTAATTACGGTAGAAAGTGATTCGATTACGGTAGTTTTCGATAGTTTCGTAAACGATTACGACATTTATAGTATAGCTTTAGCTGAATCTTTAGCTTTTCTTTATCCTTAGCTGAATATCTTTATCTTTAGCTGAATATCTTTAGCTTCAAGTAACAATGAATCTATCGGGTTGTCCAGTCAGGAATGCGCGTTTTTACTATTTTGTAAATTTCTCAAGATATCGAACAGATGTATATGAGTGTTATATATCATTCGAAAGCTGAAGATCTCCTCTACATTTTGGAATAAAAAAGTTTTTGAATTCATTCAACTTTTTGGGAAATTGACTGCACAAAGAGAGAGGTCGTTTTCGAAAAAAAACCCATTCCAGCTTAGCCAATTCCTCAAGTTTTATGGTGTAAAATAACCGCCCAGAAAAGAAAAGAAAAGTAAAGATGCTCTGAAATTGCCATATTTTTTAAAAAAAGTTGTATTGATATATCTATTGGCCAAACATCAAACGGTTAACTCAATTTGAGCGGAGCCAAAACTTGATCCAAAGGGACCTGGGCTGGCTCTGAGTCCCGAGAGCTGGCTCTGAGTCCTGAGAGCTGGCTCTGAGTCCCGAGAGCTGGCTCTGAGTCCTGAGAGCTGGCTCTGAGTCCTGAGAGCTGGCTCTGAGTCCTGAGAGCTGGCTCTGAGTCCCGAGAGCTGGCTCTGAGTCCTGAGAGCTGGCTCTGAGTCCTGAGAGCTGGCTCTGAGTCCCGAGAGCTGGCTCTGAGTCCCGAGAGCTGGCTCTGAGTCCTGAGAGCTGGCTCTGAGTCCTGAGAGCTGGCTCTGAGTCCCGAGAGCTGGCTCTGAGTCCCGAGAGCTGGCTCTGAGTCCTGAGAGCTGGCTCTGAGTCCCGAGAGCTGGCTCTGAGCCCTGAGAGCTGGCTCTGAGTCCTGAGAGCTGGCTCTGAGTCCTGAGAGCTGGCTCTGAGTCCTGAGAGCCAAAACTTGATCCATTTTTTGGCCACCTCTTCTTCTGTCCAGTCAATTTGCTCAAAAGCTGAACAAATCCAAAAACTTTTATATCAAAATGTAGAGGAGACCTTCAGCTTTCGAATAATACTCATATATATCTTTTTCTTGATTTCGGTATCTTGAAAAATTTACAAAATAGTAAAAAACGCGCATTCATAACTGGACAACCCAATATTCAAAAAGCTCACCTCAACGATATCATCAAGGAAATCGATTTCCCGTTCATCGGAGTAATTAGTGATTTCAACGTTTTGATAGACGACGCTACAGTTCTAAAATAAAGCCTTTCTTTTAGGAATCAAGTTTTCAAATCAATATAAATCAATACAAATCAATATAAATCAAGACTAACCTCATAAATTTTCTGAAAATAGTGGTATGCATCGAGTTTATCCTGTCGACCGCTTTCCGAGTAGCTGTTTTTTGTCCCAGAACAAGCTGAAGTTGGATTTTTGCGGGAAACATTGAAGCTACATAAAGCTACGTTGACAGAGAGTTTGCTTCAGTAACACTTTTGAAGATTTGTATTGGGTTTATTGAACCAGTTCCTTACTAGAACTTGATTCGATTACTATTAGCGCAAAGTTTAGCCATGGTTCAAGACTATTAACTTTCAAAAATCCCAGTGTCTTGATCGCAAAAGACTTTAGATTGTCAAGTTTGAATTGTAAAGAAAATGCGAACGAAACTTGGACTGAAGAAACGTTTGGAAAGTGCTACAGTCATTGCATCCTATTCTTGGTAAAGAAGATGATTGTAAACAAATTAACTCTCGGAGCTGTTTCAGCCGGGTCCTAGAACCTACAAGTCAAGACAGATCAAGTTCACCCAGGTTTAGGCCTGATTTCTGAGACAGATTTAGGTCCAGGTCCAAGACTAGGTCCAGGTCCAGGTCCAAGAGTAGGTACAGATCCAAGTCCAGATCCAGGTCCAAGTTTAGTTCCAGGCCCAAGTCCAGGTCCAAGTCCAGGCCCAGGTCCAGGTTCAAGCTTAGATCCAGGCCCAAGTCCAGGTCTAAGCCCAGGTCCAGATCCAAGTCCAGGTCCAAGTACTGGTCCAGATCCAGATCCAAGCCCAGGTCCAGACCCAAGTCCAAATCCAAGTTCAAGCCCAGGTCCAGATCTAGTTCCAAGCTTAGGTCTAGATCCAAGTCCAAGCCCAGGCCCAGGTCCAGGTCCAGATCCAAGCTTAGATCCAGGCTCAAGTCCAGGTCCATACCCAGCCCAGGTCCAGATCCAAGTCCAGATCCAGGCCTAGGTCCAGGTCCAAGCCCAGATCTAGTTCCAAGCTCAGGTCTAGATCCAAGTCCAGGCCCAGGTCCAGGCCCAAGTCAGGCCCAGGTCCAGGCCCAGGTCAGGCCCAAGTCAGGCCTAGGTCCAGGCCCAGGTCCAGGCCCAGGTCAGGCCCAGGTTCCAGCTTAGGTCCAGGTCCAGGTCTAGGCTCAGGCTCAATACGACAAAGTTTAGGCACATTGTCGACTAGGCTGGATCAGATATTGAAACATCTCTTTTATTACAGTATCAAGTCAATAAACTTGATAAAATCCAAGTTTGATCAAAGCTAAACCTGCTATATCTAAATGATAAGCAATTTAGGCACCACTATGGCAGGATTCATCCAATTTTCTCGTTATAATTATCGGATTTTGCTTAGATGAGCTTTGAAGGCTCATTGTGAAGAGCTGCTGTAAACGCAAGTCATTTAGCAAACTGGGGTCTATGGTCTAATGAACTCAAAGTTTAATATTGATATCTTTAAACAATATATCGAACGGCATTTCGAAGTCTCCGATTGACACTTTCTCCGGTTGACGTCATTCCAGAAGACGCTTGAGTGAATCGGTTGAAAGAAAAAGAAAGAAATTGTAGAGATTAGAGCCGAATAATGGAATAATCGATTGATCTGTGGGTCGACTTTTCTGGGTTTCATCTTTGAAAGCCAAAAAAAGGAGTTGAGCAGAAAGATAAGAAGATTTCTAGCCAATCAATCTAGACAATCGAAAGAAATTTGATGGAACATTAAAGAAATGTTAAAGAACATTAAAGAAATGTTCAATAGAAAAGGAAAAAGGAAATTGAAATGTTTAAAAGGATATCTTTAAAAGGAGATGTTTAAAAGGAGATCTTTAAAAGGAGATCTTTAAAAGGATATCTTTAAAAGGAGATCTTTAAAAGGATATCTTTAAAAGGAGATCTTTAAAAGGAGATCTTTAAAAGGAGATCTTTAAAAGGAGATCTTTAAAAGGAGATCTTTAAAAGGAGATCTATAAAAGGAGATGTTTAAAAGGAGATCTATAAAAGGAGATGTTTAAAAGGAGATCTTTAAAAGGAGATCTTTAAAAGGAGATCTATAAAAGGAGATCTTTAAAAGGAGATCTTTAAAACGAAATCTTTAAACTTTCAACTTTTGCTTGAGTTAGAGAGATTTCGAATCGAAAAATGGAATCAACTAATAAGAGCCGAATAGGAACCAAATAGGAACCAGTTAGAGAGAGTTAGAGAGATTTCGAATCGAAAAATGGAATCAACTCAGAGAATCGGGTCAACTTTTGTGTGTGTGTTTTTTGAAAAGAAGGACTTGAGTCTTCATATCAATTGAATCACTTTCACCCAAAAAAAGACGATTTTATGAACTACAAAAAGAGAAAAACGTAAAAATTGAATTGAAATTGAAAAATTGAACTTTAAAAAGAAAAGAATTGAAGAAAAATCGAGTAAATGAGAAATTTTCGGCGGTTTTTAGAGAAAATTAAACCGGAAATTAGGGTCTGAAGAAGGAATTTGAATGAATTTTGATGAATTTCGTTAAATTTTGATGAATTTTGACGAATTTCGATGAATTTCGTTAAATTTTGTTAAATTTCGTTAAATTTGAATTTGAATTGATTTGATTTGAATTGATTAAATTTGAATATGTTTATTGGGAAACATTTTGGCTAGAAAATATACATTCCGAGTGTGCCCCCAACTGTTCCCCCCCCCTTTCCAAAGGCATTTTGCGCTTCACAATTCATCAATTTCGCTGTTGTTGGTTTCATTGGATAGAGGAGAGTTAGACGCATCAAATGAAACCAAAAATAGCCCGATTGGTAAATTGTGTGTCGAGAAAAACGCAAAATGCCTCTGGCAAGGGGGCACAGGAGGGGGAACACGCGGAATGTATCTTAAAGGGGGGTGCACATCCGCGCGAAAATGCGATCGCCGTTAAACTTGCTCACGGTAAGTGCTATTCGATGCGAAAAAATGTCTTGAATTCAAATTTGAAAGAATTTTTCGAATCCGTCTGACAGATTTTTTTAAAATCGAAAAAAATCACTATTTTTCCATATAAACGCCAGAATTGCCTCTCTTTTACAGGCTGGTTCTCGGCGAAAAGGAAATTTTGGTATACCATATACCAAACTTTATGCTCAAGGGTCTTGTGCACATTTTGACACCAAAACGAGATCAATTGGGTGAATCTGTGAAAAGTTGATGCCTTTTGAACGCAAAAGTAGCGTTTTGTCAACTTTCTGCGCGCTAAAGCGTGGGTAAACTACCGTAACCATTACAAAACAAAAAAAATTATAAAATAAACAAATGTGTTTTTATGAACTTCTTCAATTCTTTTTGTTTTTCTTCACTTCAATCAAAATTTTGGCTCCTTTTTGATCGTTTACATAATTTTGATTTCAACGAACGATTTGTGTTTTACAGGTAGCAGGCGTGGCGCAACTTAACGCTTTTCCGCAGTTTTTGCCTTTTAGCCCAAATTTGACGTGTCAGCGAGGTCTGATTTGTCGAAATTCGGAATCTACGCATACGATTCCCTTCTATGAAAACATTTTTGAAGCTCTACCACCTTTCCTAAGGCCCTTTCCAGCAAAAAAAGGGTGCGCAAATGTCCAGGTGCGCAAAAAAAAGGTCGCATTTGTCCCACCCCCGTCAAAAGCAGAAAAAGATAAAAACAACAAAATTTACAACAAAACAACAAAATTTACGCTAAAAAGACGTTAAACACAAGTGATTTTCAAGAAAAAGTAAAAATTTTTAGATTTAACACGTAATTTGTACACTTGTGTACACTGCCGTTCTATTCGAGGAGATCGTTCTATTTTCTCCCTCCCCCCTCTACCCTGCCGTTCTATTACAGTATTTACAATAATTATATGAGCTATCCAATTTGGTATCCCTAATTTTAGTTCGTCAGTTTGATCGTTTTTGCCTGTTTCTTTCTCTGGTTGTTCCCATCGATTCAAGCGCTGAGAACCGAGAAACCCGTTTATGCACAAGTGGTCTGGATCCTGAAGTAGTAAGTAGCTATTCGGTAGTAAAAAAAAATGAAAACATTTTTGAAGCTCTACCACCTTTCCTAAGGCCCTTTCCAGCAAAAAAAGGGTGCGCAAATGTCCAGGTGCGCAAAAAAAAGGTCGCATTTGTCCCACGCCCTTAAATTAGTCAATTTGATGACTGAATATCTTAACTATTCTGTATAGAGAGCGTCGACTTTAACTTTGCCTTTGTTTTGGTGGCATCTTGAGCTTTTTTAGGCTTTCTTTGGCTTTTTCTGGGCTTTTTAAGACTCATTTTTCATTTCATTTCATCAATTTCATCGAATTTCAATGAAAATCAATCAATTTCGATTAACAAAAGCAATGAATTTCGTTAAATTTCGTTAAATTTCGATGAATTTCGATGAATTTCAATGAAAATCAATCAATTTCAAAATAAAAGCAATGAATTTTAAAGTTTAAAGTCTAGTTTAAAGTGCTAAAGCCTTTAAACCTTTAGACTTGAAGTCTAGTCTAGTTTAAAGTTTAAAGTCTAGTTTAAAGTCTAGCTTAGAGTCTAGCTTACAGTTTAAAGTCCATTTTAAAGTCCACTTTCGATGAATTTCGTTAAATTTCATCGAATTTCGTTAAATTTCATCGAGCACGTGTGGCTGACTGGTTAAGTGTCTTTTATCTTAATGGGAAGGTCGAGGGTTCGAACTTTGACCGAAAATTTCTCTATGTTTTTATATTACAGTTTACTAAGCAAGTTATAGTTTTCTATAATAGAATTTCATTACCTACATTTTAAAACCAACCGCGAGTCGATCCGTCAATGGCAAGTGGAGATATGAGACAAAAGAGAAGAGTAGTCCAACTCAGATTCTCTACTCGTCCCTAGACAAATATCTAGGGAAGGGTAGGCACTTATCTCACTTTGACCTTAATTTTCTCGATAATTTTATTGGTAAGTCTATAAAACAAATTATACATTTCTTTACTGAAATTTAACGTGCGACAACCCCACATGCGACATGGTCACCCCCTTCGGATTTCCTTTCCCTTCGGGTTGAGAGGTTTTCTGGAGGGCAGTCTGGTGGTTGTGGCCCCAGTTCTTTAAAGTGACAAGCCACTCCTTCATCGTCATCTTCCCTTCACCACCAAAAAAGCTATTTAGTTCCCCATTGAGCTTAGGGTTAGGGAGCCGTCTGTCATGACGTGGGTTAAGTTAAGATATAGCCTAGTATTGTGTGTGTCGTTGTATTGTGATTGATATATTTCGTGTATGCGACAAATTCACCACTGGTAGCCCCAGTCGGTATTTAAAAAAAAAATTTCAATGAAAATCAATGAATTTCATTTAAAGCTTTGAATTCTTTCAGAAAAAAGCATTCTAAAATCGAAAAGAGATATTTTGAAATGAAATTTGATATTGAATTTGATATTGAATTTGAATAAATGCAAATTTGATTTCAAA